ATGCATGAGAAATACTATGAAATATTTTGAAGCACTCTATACATTCTTTGCTGCAGTTAGGTTTTGCTGGAGGTTAGGAAACGAGTGATGTATGACCCACGTGGCTAGATCAAGTGAATTATTCTCCCTCAATTTTTCGAACAGGGAAATTTGGTAGAGGATCAAAGTTTTATAATTTCTCTGATGCCTTTACTTTTGTTTCTCCTGTAACAATGGTATCATTCAGGGTGGACAAAAAATTCAAACTGAGTGGAGAGACACTCAGCAGTAGGTCTAAAAAAACAGGAGCCCTTGAAATGGCTCCTTTCCTCTTTCCCCCAGACAACTTTTTATAGAAGGCTTGGCTCAACAGAGAAAGCCATCAGGGCACTTCCAATCAACCTAAAAGAATGATTCTTATGTAAAATGTATTTGATGAGGATGGATAGTAATTGTTGGTGTTTTTGATGGGTTTTGGTTTAGAATCAATACAGATTGATACTTAAGAGTGATAGACATACATTTCTACAACCATAGATATTATTTTCTGGTCCTTAGCAAGCAACAACTATACTTGAATTAAAAGAACAAGTTTTAACTTCAAGAGAAAAATTCCAAGAAATGTACAAATATTTCAATTATCCCAGCAAACTCTATTAATGTTCCTTTTTAGACAAAATATAAATCATTCAGATTTCTCTGCTTTCATGCATACCTTATGATGACAAAATGATACTTTATATTTCAATCAGGAGCAGAAAAGGGTGATGGTTTCCTAGAGGGTGTATGTATATGTCATTCCTAAGGTGTTTTAATCTAATAGAAAAAAGTTATGTAATCACTTGAAAGAAAGAAACCAGGTAGCCAAGAATAGCTGTAATTACATAGAACACTACCCCATGTTTTACTTACCTAAGTCAGTTTCCTGGTTTAGCTCAACGTACTGAAACATAAATTAATCACATTGGTTGGGTTCACTCTGTACCTTTTGAGCTGCTTTTTGTTTGATATAGTGTAGCTAAGGCTACCACATCTGCGCTGCAGAAATCTTGATAACCAACAATGGAAGCAAAGAGATACAGAAAACTTTAGCAACTGTTGTTTAGTGGTTTTTACAGACTTTTACAGCCTATAACTGGTTGACCTAGTAATCACATTATGGATACCACCAGGCAGTAATATTAAAGTGCTATCCTCTATCTATGAGTGGGCCTAAAAGGATGTTAGCATCAATTGTGCAGCTCTTCTTACTGATTCCTATTTGGCCTGCCATATTTTATTTATGTATGCATGCAAGCTTGCTTGCATGCAAGCTATATATACAAGCTTGCTTCAGTCACAGCTGACTCTAGATAGCAAACTATTCTCTATTTTAAACAAGGTTAAAACAATACAAAATAATATCAATAATTAATAATCAACAGCTTAATAAAGCACAGAAACAATCTTATTATTAGATACCATGGGATTTACAAAACATTTTATGACATTGCTACAATATATAAAAATCCAGTCACTGTAAGAGCTTGCCCCTGAACTTTAATTGTATTATTTTTGTTGTTGGTGTGAATGAAATATTTCTCACTCCAAACATAACAGCAACCTTCTCTTGCTGCATGGTAGCTGAAGTTCAACAAGCTATTCCTGATTGCCTGTTTAATTATGAAAAAGATTGCTTGAAATTTTGGATGGAAAACTAATAAAGGCATGTTTCAGAAAGCCAGTATTGGCGAGTCTCTTGAAAGAAAGTTATTGCTGCAGAATAAGTCCAGATAGTCTGCAAAACCTGGGGGGGGGGGCAATTTATTTTAAGTCAGTGGTCTTGCCTGATTTCCCCATTTGGCTTTCCTTGTACTTTTTACTTGCAGATTTCTAGCAGAAGTTAGCTGTTTAATTCATCTTGTTATGCATAGATTGTGATTGTGTAGTGGATAAAACATGCAGTTTCTCATCTACTAAAAATTAATCTTGTTTCTGTCTAAAACTATTTAGTTTAAGTGCAAAAGAGAGCAAGGTCTAGTTTTAATTCAAAAAGAAGAGTTACATCTTATAGTATTACAATGTTTTGTTGCATTTTGTTAAATATCATTATCCTGGCCTTCTAGACTGTGGCCACAGGAATTGCGGTCAAGAACATACAACAGATGTTAAATTTCAGTAGTACAAAAATGCCTAGGGAGTAGCAGTAAAGTAACTAGCTGCACTGTAATTTATAGTTTGTGAACCTATGTAAACAAGGGCTTTCAGTTTAAAATGATATGTGAATCCAGCCAATTGCAGATTATGCAGCAGCTTAATAAACTTGGCAATATTTTTTTATGTTTAAACTTGGAAAAAAAGAATTATAGGTGTATTTAATGAAGGCTTTGATATGTGTGTTTGTTTCTCTATTAGCTTGTGCATTGTTATGGATGGTTAGAGCGTGATTTCCCCTGCCCCACTCCCCATGCCCAATCTTATGCAACCTTCGGTAAAAAGGAAAATTAAAATAAATGGGTCAGGTACTATGCTGCTCCAAGTGCCAAATAAATATCTATACTTCATTAATTTACTGGGTGCTGAATACTAAATTATATTCAGAAATTTAACTGGTCCTTTTTCATTTTTTTTAATTCCACGTTCCTTAGACTAGGAGTTGTAATATAAGTATTTTTAATAGACAAAATAAACATGCTCAGACGGGGAAACTTGGTGGTCTTTGGATGTTACTGCCTTACTGTCCACTGTATCTGTTCCATGGTGGGATCAAAATAAGCAAAAAAATGTTTCTGCGTGTTTTGAATATTATTGACCCATATAGATATCTGAGCTATGCTTTGATCAATTAATAAGGGATGGGAATAGTAGATAATTCTCTGAAACACAGGTTGCAGAGGAGAAGAAAGCAGAAGATCCAGAAAGATCTTGAAAGATCCCAAAAGTTGAAAAAGATCCAAAAAGATCTTGACAGACTTGAACACTTGGCTCTGTCTAACAAAATGAAATTCAGTGAGAGAGAAAAGTAAGGTTTTACACTTAGGCAAGAAAAACCAAATGTACAGGTACAAAATAGATAAAACGTGACTCAACAGCAGTAACTGAGAGAGGGATCTTAGAGTCCTAATGAACAATCACTTAAATATGAGCCAGCAGTGTGCTGCAGCTGCCAAAATAGCCAGTGCAATCCTAGGCTGCATTAACAGAGGGATAGAATCAAGATCACATGAAGTTCTAGCACCTCTTTATAAAGTCTTAGTATGGCCACACTTGGAATACTGCATCCAGTTCTGGTCACCACAATATAAAAGATGTTGAGACTCTGGAAAGAGTACAGAGAAGAGCAATTAGGAGGCTAAAACATACAAAATTTTTACAGAAATTGGGTATGTCTAGTCTAATGAAAAGAAGGACTGGAAGAAATATGACAGCAGTGTTCCAATAATAGATGGGCTACCACAAAGATGAGGGAGTCAAACTATTTTCCAAAGCACCAAAAGGCAGGACAAAGAACAATGGATGGAGAACCAAAGAACCAAAGAAAGAAGCAACCTAGAACTAAGGAAAAAATTCCTAACCAGTGGAACGGCTTGCCTTCCAAAGTTCTGGGTGCTCCATCACTGTAGGCTTTCAAAAAGAGACTGGACAACCATTTGTCTGAAATGGTATAGAGTTTCTTGCTTGAGCAGGGGGTGGAAATAAAAGACCTTCAAGGTCCCCTCCAACTTCTATGTTCTAGAAACTATATTGAAAGTTCAGAGTAACTCTCTCTTGACCGCAGTACAAAGAAGCTGATCTCACCTATTCCAAGAAAAATAAAAATCCTACTTGATTTTTCCTATTTCTCCATTTTCTGGAGGTTTTTGAGCAGAAGCATTTGAGCAGAAGCATGAAATTCCATGCCAATAGTTGCATTGACTTGCCTTCTTCCAATTCCAACATCTGTCCTGATATGCTTTTTCTTATCTTACAGCCAACTCTGATCCTCAGCAATTTATCTCTCTTGACCTCCAATATCTCACAACACATTAATGGCCCTCAATTACTTCCTCATAAAATGGAATGCCACACCCAGAATACCATACAAGTTGCTTCTAAAATGCAATTTTGTAAATATGTCTGGAAACACCTGACTTACAGTTTTCTTCCTAGGTAAACATCTCTAACCTTAAAAAAAACTCTAGAAATTCTAGTTAAAAGTCTTTGCTTGCTTGCCTGCCTGCCTGCCTGCCTGTCTGTATTTCTGTCTGTCTATGAAATTTACTTGCTGCCCATCTCATGGTTCAAGGTGACTCTGTACAAGCTTACTTATCAAACCACAGTACACAATTATACAGACTTCAACAGGTCAACTCCTGATGTTTGACTGTGTTACACAGTTCAACATGGGATATTTTCAAGGCAGATACATCTCTGAATATTGCCTGAATTTTTAAGAACTATGGACTGTGTCTCATTAATATAAATGCCCTAATAAATGCATTTCATGTTTAAGATGCATCAAGGTGCATCCTTTGTTCTTTCTACTTTATGGTGACCTTTGAAGCCAATACTCTTTCTAAATCTTGTCAGTCTCAGAAATTATACATTTAAACCTAAGGTGTTTTGGCTCCTTAAAAAAATCCTTGCTGTCACAAAAGGCACAAGCTTAGCACTTTGCAGCTAGTTGATCAGGATTGGTGGTAGGGGTAGTGGAGGGGCCCACGATTCCTTTTGGGGGGTCTTAAGCCTTGCCTTTCAGAGTCAAACAAAAGACAAGACTTTCCATCACTTCCCTGCCTTGTTTGCATATGGAACAGAGATGGGCAAAATAGCAAAAGCGTAAACAGCTGCAAATGGGAGGAGGAAACCAGTAGCGGGGGGGGGGGCATATATTTATTCTTCCTGGACTGAATCGGGAAGGAAGTTTGGATCGTTGTTGGGGGAAAAACTCTCCAGCTCCGCACAGGTTTTCTTCCTGTTGTTTGCTTAGGGAATAGAAGGGGGGGGTGATAAAAGGAAGAGGCAGGGGCAGGGCAGAGTCGCGGGGGACCCAGGGAGGGGGGGAGAGGCCCTGAGCACAACGTGCCCAACCAGTAGCCTTGCCTCCCGCGGTCATTAACCTTGCTGGGAAAGGCAGGGGGAAGCTCCTCGGCGAGGCTTGTCATTCAGAGTGTGAGCCACGGCAGGGACCACAGCAGACACGTTTCCGGCAAGCTGCTCCTTCGCTGCGAGGTGAGATAAAAGAGCGGGTCCCCGTGCGTGCGTCCGCCCACCCGCCCGCCGACATGAGATTCCCGCAGCTCCTCCTGAGCTGGGTTTTGCTGCTGACGGGGCTGCTTCTGGTCAACGGACAGAGGCCAGGTAAGACTTGGGGGTTTCTTGCCTGGCTCTCCCCGGTCAACGGGAGAGTAAGCTGAGACAGTAGTCGCTGCTCCTTCTGCACGGCAAGCGCTCTCGCAGAGCGCTCTTTGCTTTTTCTGCCCGTTGGACGATGGCAAATTCAGAAATCATCCCGGGTACATCAGCCCCCTCCGATACCTGCGCGTACCCTGCCTGGTGGGGGTTTAAGTACGAGAGGTTTGTGGAAACGGTCGGTTTTAGATCCTCTGCTCATCCTTAAGCTCGGTTGCTCTCTTATGACTATGGAGCTTTTAAGAAAATATCTTAGTTGTGTTACTAGCAATATACATAAGTGATTTTTCTGCCCAGAACCTTTAAGGGAACGTATATATATATTTTAAAAGTGCTGTAACTGCATGCAAATCTGTATTCGAAGTTTCTAATGTCTTGCAAGCTTTCTACTATTGATTATAAATCACCTGTGCTCTTCAGATAATATCACCCGGGACTGTTGCTTTATTGCTTCCTGTGATGGCTAAACCCTATTAGGCTGGTCAATGTCAGTGAGAAGTGACTTAATTTGAGCCTTTCAATTTATTTTCTTTTGCTTATTCAAATTCACTGACACTCTCTTGATTTCTATTGCTCAACAAAGCAATAAGAAAACAGCAAAGGTAACATGGTTTAGATATATGGATTGTCTGACAGAGTAAGCTAGCTCTCTAGCCTTCTGCTGACTTTCCAGCTAAAAAAAAATTCATCAGTCAGTTGACTTTTCAGAAGGGAGTTTAGCAATCCTACAACACTGACTCCGGTGTGGTCTCATGAACTCTAAATAAAACAAGAATTTGAAGATGCACCCTTGAGGCTGCATGGAGACATGGGACTCCTTTAATTCCAGTTGGTGACAACTTACATTTCCAGTTCTCTTTGGCTGAAAGAGAAAAGAAAGCAATAAGACTGGGAGCGGGTAAGGGATATTTAACTATTACCACCTCCCATTTCATGCACATATGAAAAGCATTCCACAGCAGGTGAACCAAGTTTGTTTCTACAGGAAAAGCAGAGCTATGTATGCATATTCTTCTTTTAAGATAGTTCCCCATAGATCTGATGAAGTGGACTGTGCTCCATAAAAGATTAGATAGTAGTAGCTGTAAATGATTCTGGGATGTCACAAAACTTTTCTGTGTTTTTCAAAGGAACATATAGTCCATAAGTCATTTGGTAGTCTGATCCAACAATGGGTAAGAGAATAGAAAAGAGCCTTTTAGTCTCTCTCTCTCTCTCTGTGTGTGTGTGTGTGTTTGTAGAGACAGAGACACACAGAGACAGAGACAGATAGAGATGTAGATACACATACAGACATAGATACATAATATATCATTGCACCTGTAACTGTCCAGAGGGCTGAAAAATTATAACAATGGCTCTCTTGCTGTCTTCAGAATGGGGTTTTAAAAAAGGCAATATGGCAGCCACAACAGTGCAGTAGAAGCTCTGCCTATTCTTTAGGGGCATCATGTGCCCTGCAGACACTCTGGATACAGGGCAAACCTACAAAGGCCAGAGCAGCAATATGGTGTGGATTCATGTTCTACAGGATGTTGGACCAAATTGTCACACTATTTCTATAGTCCAGCTAACATTTGAAGAATGCTTGATTATGATATGATGACATTATTCTTGGCTTAGTTTCAAGCATAGAAAAATATCAAAAAGTTCAAGCAATTGTTCATGCATCTTTATATCCTTGAAAGTATGTCCATTGGCTTTAGGAAAACTATTACATTTGGATTTAAGCTTTTCTTTAAAAAAAACATGGCACAAGAGGCAGCAGCACCTAACTTGGCCTTAGCCATCTAAAAATTGCTAACAAGTGAGATGTGGCTAATCCATTGGAAGGAAGATCATCAGGAGATTCCAGGTATAGACCAATTTACCAAAAGAAATGGCAAAACATTTCCATATTAGTGCAAAGAAAAAAAAATTAAGTGTGTAGTCACAAGGAGTAAAGTTGACCTAAGAGAAACTTACTTTAATTAATTATTTATATAAAGAACATAAAGAAACATTTTAATTACACAATTCTCTTGAGAGAGGAGAAGTTAGCAGTTGATGAGCATCCAGGCAAAACAGGACATACAGTATTTCTGTCTTCATACAAGATTTTTAGCAACTTAAAGCTCTTTGCAATGCATTTTGCTTTCCACTCATGATACACCAGCAATTATTCTTCCTAAATGTTTAGATATGCTTTGCATATGTTACAAAAAACCCTCTGAGGCAGACCATTATTATGAGAGGCTGAAGCAGAAAGAATGAATAACTGTCTGCTCATTGCTTTTCCAATTGTGAACAACTGTCTGCTTAATACTTTTCCAATTGCATTGAAATGAAAAGCTGTTCATGCCTTAGGATATAATCCAACATTTCCTACTCTGGACCTTTCCAACATACATTAGATTTCATCTCCACAGACAGAATACTGGCTGAGATTAATAGAGTTTCAGTCTAACACTCTGGGAATGGGAAGGAATCAAACTGGAAAAGCTTGAAGTTTAGAAATTAAATCAAAACAATTTGCAGGCTTAGGCCATTTATATTTTCAAAAATATTTGAATTTATTTTACACAGTGTTTTTTTATTCATGCAAGAAAACCAAAGAACACAATCCAGCCACACATGCAGTCTCTAAAGCTTATCCCATTGCACTATACTGGCTGTTTACTCTTTAATGTAGTTACACATCATGTACAAATTATGTGGGAGTTGAACACCATGGGACATACTTTGGTATATCCAGGCATTAATTATATAATAAGGCTGCTTGCTGGCTCATGTTTTTAAACAGGTGATAGGTCTATATATTTTACTAGTCTAACTAATGGTTTTATTATAGGCAAGTATTTATAAACACACAGAGAAACATACACCCATACTTTTGAAAGGGAAGTTTTGCTAGAGGTAGCCCAGTGCTGTGATTCAAATATATGAACGACCGGTTCTCTGTGTGGATGCCACTTCTGGAAGTCCATTCTGGCCCTGGGCATCAAAAAATTAGCTACCAGTTCTGCCGAACTGGTACGAACCGGCTGAATCCCACCACTCAGGTAGCCTATTATTTTAACAGGAAATTTGTCTTTGGACTTGGAACAAGCAGACACATTCAATGTTTCTTCTAAAGTACTTCTGATAGCAAGCTGAAATTAGGATTGCTTCTATCTTGTATTAATCCTAATATCATGATACTGACATCTCAATACTCTCTTTCTTGTCTTCCAGCTAACTTGGCCAACAGACGAAAACTACACAGACATCACTGTTCCCACAGGAGATGCATGCCCCTTCATTCCAGAGTGCCCTTCCCTTGAGGTATTTCCAGGGCTGGGACTCAATTTAGGCAAGGAACAATCAACACACATTTGGTAATGAAACCAGGTGTCATTAGGGTGCAGGCATCAAAGGCTGCTTCTCTCATGTTGGAAGGACTGGCTGGGTGGCTGGCTGGGTCACCAGAATATTTCTCTTTGCAAATTACATTTCCATTTTCAAAACATTGTGTTTATGGGGTTGGGGGGGGAGGAGAGATTTGATTGACCCCAAACCACGAACAATTTCCTTTGGGCTGCTCCCATTGTGTTTTTATTTGCTCTGAAAATAAAGTAAGGAAGAGGGAGTACTGGGGGTAGGGTGGGGATGGGAATAAACTAAAGGGAAGAACAGAACAATAAAAGTACTTGTTTTATGTGAACCCCTGGGCACAGTTCCAAATGATTGAGTAGCACTGGGCTCTCTGTCAATTATTTCACTCTCTGAAGCTGCACAGAGAAAGAGACTCATTCGAAACCCTGCTGTCCTGCTGAAGCTTTCTGCTCACCAAAGGCCAATATTTCCTCTTACAATGAAAATGCAACTATCTCATCCCTGTTAATGCTGCTATTCAAATCTCTCACATATTGGTTCATACAAGATTTTTAAATAATAGCATTGGGTTTACATGGATATTGATCAAATGTAAAAATGTTTTATTCCTGTCCACTTAGAGCAGGACTCATATGTAACCACGTACAGATGAAATGCTAGCTTGAGAGGACTGTCATTAAAAAGGACAGAATCGTTTTGTCCTTTAACTTCAGGCCATATAAATACAGCAGCCAATATTTCTAGCTATGTAGTACAGACAATCCTTGTAATTTTAAAGGTCAACCTTATCAAATAAAGTTTCTAAACAAATACTAAATGAAAAATCATAAGCAGAAGTAAATTTCTTTGCCTAGTTGGTCAAGGAATTGCATTGGAGTTTGCTTCATTTGTCATATATTGCTCTCTCAGTTTTGGAAACAATAAATTTTAGGATGAAAGGCTTTAAAATCTTCTCTTAAATCACTAAGGGAGTCTTTTGTCCTGGAATGCACGCGGTGCTCACAAGCTAAGTAGTAAACTAATATCGTATTAGTTATTGAATGGCAATTTAACATGTATGTGTGTTAGTTAACCAATCAGGAAAAACAATATTGATGGAGCTTCTTTTCATCTTCTTCCTAGAGTTGGTTTTTTTTCCTAATTGTGTCTAAATACCTCAACACATGGACTATGTTAATGGAAATACTGTTACAGCAAATCCTTCATCTAATTAATTCCCTTATACTAGATTGTCAAAAACAAAGTGACATTATTATTATTATTATTATTATTATTATTATTATTATTATTTAAGACTGGGAATTTTTGTAGATGTTGCTAATCTAGAACTCCCGATCACTCTGCTGATTGTGAGGGATATTGAAATTTGAAGTTCAAGAGCATCTGGATCATTACAGATTTTAATTCCAGAAAAGCTGAAATTTGCTGATGACCATCTGTTCAAAGTTTCAATTTCATGACAATGTCAGTAATACTGAAACAATAGATCTGGATATGGCTATGAATTATTTAGCTAATAAATTTAATATCTAATCTAAGTCCCCAGAATAGATGCACATTTAATTTAGGTGTCAACTCTTTGTGGCCCGTGACAGCAGCTCATGGGGCATTTTGTTCAGAGAGGTCACTAGCAAGCTGTTGCCATGAGGACCTGGGAGCACTTTAAATTTTAGATTGCATTCCAGCAATGTATAAGGCTAAACTCCTGAACCCAGTTGGGGTCCTGCAGCTTAAATAATGGAAAGTGCAAAGAAGCAGGACTGCATTCTGTGACAGCATATAAATGCAAACAGTCCAGAATGATAGAATTAGGACATACTACTAGAGCAAGGATCAAAAGAACGCTAAGCTCTTTTCTTAAGGAAGCATCCCATCTTCAGATGAATAAAACATGTGGTCAGACACTTTGCATCTGGAAACATCTTTTGTTATATGTAGGCAACTACACGGCCTTTGATACTCTAGCTGCAATAAATAAATTTTAAAAAATTACAGGGGTTGTAATCCCTGTCACTTCCCCTAAAGGCTCTTTACAATGAGTAAGACCCACCTCTGAGTAGTTTTAAGTGGTTTTAAGTTATCTTTAAAGGAATGTTTGCTTTTTCTAGGCACTTAAAAAGCCAAACAAAGACCAAGTACTGAATTTAGTCAGTGCCTCTACTCCTTTGAATCCTGTCTGTCACAGGGTTGGGAGAAAATGGCATAGCAGAAACCTTTGCTATGGTACCTCCTGAGTACATATGTGAGTTTACATGGTTTGTTTCTTTACTATTTATTTGCATTGCAGAATTAGTGAATCACTTCTCTGCCTTAGAGGGAAATTAGATTCTAGATCTTGGATGTAAGAGTTCAAAATAATTCAGAGAACTTTAGCTCCTGGGTGACATCTAGCAGCTGTATGGATTATTGAAGCCCAGATCTGGTAAGGCAAGCTGCTTCTTCTATCATATTGGTTCAGTAGCAAGTAATCTGGGATGCTGCAGCCAGCGTTTCCATGATGAAGAAAGCTGAGAACTGATTCCCGCTCCTAAGTCTGGACTTGTTCATTGAGAAAAATCAGTGAGTGAACTCACAAAACATACTAAGCCATCAATGTTTCACTAGCCCTACCCAGCAAATCAGATAATTGATTTACCTTTTGTACCCCCTATTAATTGATACAATATAAATATTTAGATTAAGGCAGGCAATGAATATTTCTTCTGTTCCAAAGCAAACCCTAGTGGGAGCTTTCTCCCCAAGAAATTAAAACATAAATATCTTATTAAACAAAAAAATAATTTATCCTATGTAAAATAATAATAATAATAATAATAATAATAATAAAGTTGGAAGGGACCTTGGAGGTCATCTAGTCCAACCCCCTGCTCAAGCAGGAAACCCTACACCATTTTGGACAAATGGCTGTCCAGTTTCTTCTTAAAAATTTCCAGTGTTGGAGCATTTACTGCTTCTGGAGGCAGGTTGTTCTACTGATTAACTGTTCTCACTGTCAGGAAGTTTCTCCGTAGTTCTAGGTTGCTTCTCTCCTTGATCAGTTTCCACCCATTGCTTCTTGTCCTGTCTTCAGATGCTTTGGAAAATAGCTTAATTTCTTCTTCTTTATGGCAGCCCCTGAGACACTGGAATACTGCTATCATGTCCCCCCTTGTCCTTCTCTTCGTTAAACTAAACATACCCAATTCTAGCAACCGTTCCTTATATGTTTTAGCCTCCAGTCCCCTAATCATCTTTGTTGCTCTTCTCTGTACTCTTTCTAAAGTCTCAACATCTTTTTTACATCGTGGTGACCAAAACTGGATGCAGTATTCCAAGTGTGGTCTTACCAAGGCATTGTAGAGTGGCATTAATACTTCACGTGATCTTGATCCTATCCCTCTGTTAATGCAGCCTAGCACTGTGTTGGCCTTTTTGGCAGCTGCAGCACACTGCTGGCTCATATTTAGGTGATTGTCTACTAGGACTCCGAGGTCCCTCTCACAGTTAGTACTATTGAGCATGGTGCCACCTATGCTGTACTTGTGCATTAGGTTTTTCTTGCCTAAATGTAGAACCTTGCTTTTTTCACCATTGAATTTCATTTTGTTAGTGCCCAGTGTTCAAGTCTGTCCAGGTCCTTCTGTATCTTAAGCCTGTCTTCTGGAGTGGTTGCTAAATGCTTGTTCATCATGTCTTAGAATAGGAATATATTTCAAAGCTGCCTCAGCACTGTCCCTTACTTTTTCCATGATCCAGTTTAGTTAGATCATTAGAGTTTAAATGATAGGAGATCAAACAAAACAATTAGGACTTAGGCTTATCTAGGGGTTAAATTCAACTCATAGCAGATTAGGAGACTGGTGGTGTCAGCAGAAGAATACCTAGCCAAAGGAATTAAATCTGTTCACTCACCACATAAAGTGTAGTCACAGTGTGGAATTTAGATGGAAGGAGAAGCCTTGGGCCATTCCTGCAAAAGTGAACCAATCATCTCTTTCCTGCACATCTGGCACTTCCTAAAGTCTTTATTGTGCATTGAAATATAATGCATGTGAGTTACTGTGAAGACCTGGGTGATAAAAATGTACTTAGGTGGATTTTTCTTTCCCTACCTACCCATTTATAGAATAGCTATTTGTAACACTGAAAACTATTTTGTAGCTAGTTTCATTTATGGAGTTGCCTGCTTGTAACAAAAGGCAGAGAGCAGAAGCACAAACTCTTAACTATCACTTTGTATATGGTACATTAACTGAAGGAAAGATTTAATAGAGTCAGTATTTCTAATTTATTTCTAAAACCTTCTGTGTTGTAAACCAGTGAAAGGCAGCCTGAGATTCTACAGCTAGTTATGGCTTGATCCTAGTTTTGGTGGGTCTATGACAATTCACTGCAGTTAACTCATCACAGCCAACTCACTGTAGGACAAGAGTAACACTAATACAAAAAAATGGTTGAATAGAATCATTAAAGAAAGAATGCAAAGAAGGGATAAAATGAAATGTGAATGACAAAAATTAAAGTAATTTCTTAATTACTTTAAATAATTAAATTGAATTGTTGAACTGGCCCACAGTGGCCATGACACCATGAATGTGGTAAGTTGTCCCATTCCATGTTTCGGTAACCCTTGGATTGTCTCTCATTGAAATTCCAAGATGTAATTGAACCAAATATGGCAAGGAGATGATCTGCATTTAGAATCACTTGTAGAACATAGAACAGAGAAGGAGCCGTAGAGGTCTTCTAGTCTAACCCTGCACCCATGGCAGGAGATTGTATACCATTCCAGACAACTAGCTGTCCAGTCTCATCTTGAAACCTACACTCCCACAAGTTCTGGAGGCAAGCTATTCCACTGATTAATTGTTCTCACTATCAGGAAATTTCTCCTTAGTTCTAGGTTGGATCTCTCCTTAATTAAATTGTTTAATTAAATTAATTTAATTTTTGAATTTGATAATAATAATAATAATAATAATAATAATAATAATAATAATAATAATAATAATAAAGTAAAGTTGGAAGGGACCTTGGAGGTCATCTAGTCCAACCCCCTGCTCAGGCAGGAAACCCTATACCATTTCGAACAAATGGCTGTCCAGTCTCTTCTTAAAAACTTCCAGTGTTGGAGCATTTACCGCTTCTGGAGGCAGGTTGTTCCACTGGTTAATTGTTCTCACTGTCAGGAAGTTTCTCCTTAGTTCTAGGTTGCTTCTCTCCTTGATTAGTTTCCACCCGCTGCTTCTTGTCCTGCCTTCAGGTGCTTTGGAAAATAGCTTAATTCCCTCTTCTTTATGGCAGCCCCTGAGATATTGGAATACTGCTATCATGTCCCCCCTTGTCCTTCTCTTCGTTAAACTAGACATACCCAATTCTCGCAACCGTTCCTTATATGTTTTAGCCTCCAGTCCCCTAATCATCTTTGTTGCTCTTCTCTGTACTCTTTCTAGAGTCTCAACATCTTTTTTACATCGTGGTGACCAAAACTGGATGCAGTATTCCAAGTGTGGCCTTACCAAGGCATTGAAAGTGGTATTAATACTTCACGTGATCTTGATTCTATCCCTCTGTTAATGCAGCCTAGCACTGTGTTGGCCTTTTTGGCAGCTGCAGCACACTGCTGGCTCATATTTAAGTAATTGTCCACTAGGACTCCAAGATCCCTCTCACGGTTACTACTATTGAGCAAGGTGCCACCTATGCTGTACTTGTACATTTGGTTTTTCTTGCCTAAATGTAGAACCTTGCTACAATTTGTATTATAGACATGCAAACATTCCCAAAATCTGTTTATATGGTTTAAAATTGACCAGTAGGGTGTTACTGTTGTTTCTTAAGGCTATTACAACAGACTTTCCCAGTTCCCAGCTTACAGCGCTCCAGATGCGTTGAGACTGCAGCACCCATACTGGCTGAGTACAACTGTCAGGAATCAAAAGGAGTGGGCAAGGCCATACAAAAGTAACATATTTAAAGTTAGTTACTAAGAGAATATATATTTATAGATAGCATTCTATTTCCAATGACAGTTCATGTAGCTCTGGGCTATATTTCTTATTAACTACTTAGAAATAAAAGCGATGGAATGGGAGTTTTGAGGGAAGAAAGATGTTCCATGTCTACATAAAAGTTATTGCGACTGAATCTAATTTAGACTAGTTTAATAAGGAACATCATTTTGGTGTACTTTGATCATTTTCTGTCTAAGGAAAATACTTAAGATTTAATGAGAAAAAAACCAAGTTGAGCTCTAATATATTCAGTTATTGCACTGGCCTAATTTTAAAAATTTAAAAGATTTTTACTACAGCAGAAGATTTATCACATGTCTTAAAAATCCTGGTCTGCAGTTTAATGTAAATAGATTTCCCTCTGTTCCTTAACAAGGAACTGGAAGCCAATAAATTATATTTTTACAAAACCACTGTATACCTGCCGTCCTATATTTTTTTTATATGCTTATATATGTAATGTAAAATGCTTATTGGACAGGAAGATCAACACAGTTCCACTGATTCCACTGGACTGTCTTTTACAATGTTTTTTTTCTAACGTTCATTACATTAGCATTATATAATTCCACATTATTATATTTTATTTTGTATAGGATCCAGAATCTCCTGGAAGTTGTCAACAAATATTTTTAAATAAATAAATAGTGGTATAATTCAGAAAGATTATGGTACAAGTGCATATGAAACAGGATTTAGTAGACACAGAAAAACACATGCACTATTTCATGTTTTCCATCCTCTTATCCTCTGTCTGACTGCAATGGATTGTCTAGCATGGCAGAAAAGAAGATAGGGAGAGCATATATGCATGTAAAAATGCCATTTTTGTTTCTTGTTTGCCTTTTAAAGTGGATTCTGAATTTCAGATGGCTAAGATTTATTCTAAGCACCATACATCAGAGCACCAAAAAGTGCTCTAATCATCTTCTCTGTTTTGCCCAGTTCTTTTATTAAATCATGGAATTCCGACTGGAGAATAAAGTTGTATGTAATTGTGTAGAGAAATTTTAGCTGACCATATATAAAGATTATATTTCTTGTAAAGATAAATATACAGTGTGGGTTTTTTACAGACAGGAAATGAAGCCAAATCAGAAGTGACAAGATGTTAAAATCACAGAAGGCGCCAAATGCATATTTTCTTCCTGACAAACAAGCAAAGTCTTTGGACATATTGCAATTTACATGTTTATTCTGTATTACCCTTCCAAGGCTCTCACTTCAGGACAGCTAGACTTGTAGACTCCTCTGAGCATCCACAAAAAGAAAATTCTGTTTGACTAAAGTACCAATTTAACTAGTGGCTAAACATACAGAAGCAAATGTATCCTGTTTGCTCAGTTTTAATCACTTGGTCCAAGGAAACAGGTGGATCACAGCTTCTCTATATTCCCATAGGAATCAGCTTTCCAGATGATAGTACAATTGAGCGATGACTTTTTTCTCTTAAGCCTTTTTTACACAGCAATAAGCTGCATGATGCAAAGTTGTGCAAAACACAACTTAAAACAATGAAAACACTTGGGGTAACATCTAATCTCACATCTATTTCCAGCACAATACTGTCCTCAAACATTTCCAAACAAGCATATTTTGGTAGAGTGTCCCAAAAGTACTTTTTTCAAAGCAACTGGACTTTCTTTCACTTCTCATCCAAGAAGCTTCTTCAGTTCTGAATTGAAGAAGGTTCTTTGATGAGAAGTGAAAAAAAGTCCAGTTGCCTTTTGAAAAAGCATCTTTGGGACAACCATGACCTGGATGACTAAGAATCTCCATAGACTATTTGGTAGGGTATTTAGTGGTGAATCTGTTCTACAAGCAATAGAACTTTTTTCCATGACCAGAACTAAATCAATCTATTAAGATTTTGCATAAAATTGAATGGGTCCCAAATACTAGTTCTTCCCTGAATTTCATGTAACTGTCAACTGCTGTGTGTAAAATTTGAAAGTCGTTGCATGATTTTGCAGTTCAGACTCTCAACATTTTAATATTGCACTTGCTCATGGTGCTTTCTAGTTCTGCTGGGGTCTAAGAAACTCCGTTCCATGATCCCATATTTTTATTGATTCATCTCCACTACATTACTGAGTTTCTTTTTTTCAAAGGGAGGGAAGAATTACCCCCTACACATCTACAAAAAAAATGGTTGTTTTCCTGAAAATGTAGTATGCCTTCCTTAATTATTTATGATCATGATCTGACTACGTTGGCAGCTGCATAAATTTAATGTTAATATTTTTATGGACCATCTCATTATGATAATTTTAAATCCAGTCTGGTTCTGTCTTTTCTATAAAATAGTTTCTTCAAATTTGCTGAGGAAAAAAAAAAGCACCGAAGTCCAGATGACATTTGATAATGGCACACTTATGATCTACAGAGATATCTCACAAGCCATCATCAGGAAACAGAGAAATCATATGAGAAAACTGTTGGAGCAGGTTTTCCTGGAGCTTGGGGATTCTTTAAGAAGAAAGAAATAATTATCAACCAAAAGATCTTATCTAGAAGCACTGGAGAATCATCGGTACAGTATATCCACCACTTTTCTTGGCATCTCAACATAGCAATCTAGTAGCCAGAAAGCAAACATTGCAATGTTAGACAAATTATGTTCTTGAAAAAGTTTTTGCTGTATTAAGTGTCTCTTACTCATGTATCTTTTAACACTCTATTAAAAATATGCAAGAGTGAAATTAGTATTTGATAAACAGTATGACTGCTTAAAGCCACAATTATTTAATTGGTTTCACTATTGCTTGATGACCAGGATGCTCTGTTTTATTCCTGTTATGTCCAAACATTTCTCAGGCCGGCACTCCTTAGTATCTTGGCCTACTGTTCCAGAATTACCAACCACAACATGTCAACAGGGTGCCAGGTTAGATAATCTGGCTGTTTTTGAAGGAGGAAATTCTTAAATATTAACTAAAATTAACAGAAAAAGCTTACAAGCATGTTTGAACCTTAAAAATCACTTATACCAGTGGAAATGCACTGTATGATAAGGCTTTGTGTGATCAGATACTTAACAGATCAATACTGTAATGTATATCTTGCCATAGTCCTTGATACATATGTAGCAATTTTAACACTACAATCAATTTAGATCATATAGTGATTCAATAATTTCTTAAAGCATGTTTGTAACTGTATATGTTGTACAAAATGTATTTCAAGTAGTACTGTCACATTAAATATTCATGTATCTTTTCACATTTTTGTATGCTGTATATTGAAATCATCCACTTTTATAGAGAAGTAAATTCTTTGCTTAATTTCATTTTAAGGAATCAATATAAACAGTAATGATATATCTACCTAAGTAAAAATATACATTAAACCATTCTTTTTAAAAATGTTAACCCACAATTACTATTAGAATTTAATCAGATAATGGCACATTAAAGAAACTGTAGATTTCCAGTTCCAGCAGAATAAAAATTATATACCGGTACCTTTTTTTGGAGAGAACTGCTGAAATTAAAGATCAATATTTTTAAATATCAGTGTGCTATGTTGTGTGCCTATTACAATAATTTATCTGGATGTTAAACACAATTTATCTTATGATTAGATTAAGTGAAATAAATAAAATCATTTACACAATAAAGAATATAATTGAGATTTAAGATCTGAAGATATAGAATCTTCTATAGATCTGTTCAAAAATACAAACAACTTATTCCCAGATAAATGCATGTAGGTATTAGTATGCACTCAAGTTTTTTTAAAAAATACTATCTATGCCAGATTTTGGCAATAATTATTAAAGCTTCAAATAAGTCAAAGACATACAATTTTAAGTGTGCAAATAACTAAACATCAATGAAAGGGATTTAAAATATACAGGTTTCTTCAAAAGTAAATAGAAATGGGAGTGCAGAAAGGAAACAAAATACTTTGAAGTCCTTTAAGAAAAAAATAGAGATCAAATACTTAAATGATATGTGAAATGTCTTAGTCTTTGTGATGCTTCAAAACCTTTATTGCAACTAAGCTAGTTGCCACAAATGATTTGCTTCTTCCTACAAGACCATTTTTTCAAGCAAGAAATATTTATATGTAGTTTTTTTTTTTTAATCTTGCAGTACTTTTGATATTTGACACTGGGTTCTTAGACCCTCCTTTGCCCTGATAGATTCTGCTGTCCAAACTGAGGAATTAAGGAGAAATGCCAACAGTCCCTCTATTTGTGGTGCCATGGGAATGGGTTTAAGAGTGTGTGGTCTCTGTAGGGGCTCCCCTCTTTTGGAATAGCCCCCCTCCCCAATTGAGGATGCTTTCCATTCTTCTCATGTAAAAAATCTGGCTTTTCCAATTGATTTTGTGTGACGCATGAATAATTTTATATCCTTTCTATTAAATACAACCAATCATTATGAATTGTATAGAATTGCTGTATTCTATATTTGAACTGTGTACATGACTTAATGTCTGCCTCCAGACTGAGGCAGTAAATAAATTGCAGGGAACGAAGGGGGGTTTTGGGTGTGTGTGTGGAGGAAGGAAAGCCTGAATTCCCCTGAGCAAAAACATCTTCAGGTTCAGCCAAATACTTTAAACATATTTAATGTTCAAGACCCTTGTTTGTTTGTTTGTTAAAGTATACTCATCTAGCCTGATTCTAATCTAGTGCAGTGACCTCTGTAAATCAACTAATGTACAAGTGTTTGAAAAAACTGGGGTCAAAGGGACTGTGTACATTGTAGTTTAGTGCCAACCACAGTCCAAACAGCCAGATGTGGGAAGGAAAACTTTACCTATTGGAAAAAGCCATTGATATTTGCTCCCATTTGCATACTGATTAAGGTTTTCCCATTGTATAATATTTACACTCTGGGACAGCAGAACAATTTGTAGCCCAGTTCTGTCTCCAAACACATTGTTATGCATCAGAGACACTTAAACCAGTCAACATAAAAGGACCGTCACTGTGGGAAATGTTATCTCAGGATTAGGTTGTTGATAGCATTATCCAACCAGATTGCTTTTGCCTTTAATTACCCATCACAGTAAAAAGAAGTATTGACTCTGCTGTTTCTTTTCATGTACATTTCATTCATATTGTTTCCAGCCTTAAACATTTATGGGAAATTGATTCAGTTAACATAAATTTGAAAATTCTTAAGTGGAAAAAAGGGAATTAAAAGCAGTCCAGAAACACTATATATCAAACCTTATACTTTCAGCTCAACTTATCTTTTTTTAAAAGGAGCTATAAATATCCTTGATATAGGGTACGTACCTGAAAATATTCATTTTTGTTTACTTACATGCCATAGTACAAATATATACCAAATGCAAGATAGCAAGTTCTCTTTATATGGTATTTGCAAGAAAAGAAGTCTTTGCTGATATTCAGATCATGCCTTCAATGATCTTAAGGTGGAATGTGGGAGTACTCAGAAAGCATTTTTCAGTGTTAATTTCAGACTTTTTTTCCTTGTCTTCCCCACTTTAAGAATTATTTTGTCATTTAAAGTAATTTTAGAAGCTTGCCCTTTTTGTGAGAAATTTCGTGAACTTTTAAAGCAGATAGGATGCTCTAACACATTTTGAAGATTTTCTTGATCACCTTTAGTTTTTGTAATGTTTTTAGATGTTTTCTCTTTATTTTCCAAACACTTGAATTATATTACAAATTATACTGATGCTACTTTTTCTCCACGTGATATCAACTCATTTGTGAACTATTTAAGTACTTATGCTACTGAGCCATCAACATAAGAGATGGTGTTGATTAGGAATAATTTTGTAGTATTTTTTAAACATTTAAAATATTTGTATTTTGATTTTTTAAAGTTCACCCTTACTTTTATTTTCCATTTTTATTTATCAAATACTGAACGTTCCAAAAGAATATAAAAATACTATAAGGAATCACAAGTTACTGTGTGGGAAAGGCTATCAGAGAAGGAAGGCTAGTTTGCTTCATCATCCAGCATGGTTATATCAAATTTTATGCATTCACAATTGTAGACACTCTTCTCTATATAAAACTGCCTGTATAGAACTTAATGGGTACTCTCCTTTATACAGACTGAATTGTGACCACTTGGGAAATGGGAAGATTCCCAATCCTATAATTGAGCTATCCATAAAGGAATGGAGAATGTCAATTTATGTAGCGTCAGATGAGGCTATGCAATGGATTTGGTTTTTGAGATATTTCCTGCTATAAGCCTCTTACTGATGCACAAAAGTCATGCATCTCGTACGTCTTTATCAATACATGCTTTGGTGAGAGTCATGACAAGTAACAGTACTGTAGATACTGATCATTAAATATTAGGTGGAAAATCAGCACAATAGCCTAAGTCTTAAGACTAGATTGGGAAACTAGAAAAAGAGCAAACTGTGTCCAGATTATTGTCAAATAAAATGCATAGGTGAATCAATGTGGTCAGCAGGAATAAAGCTTGTCCTAACCTTAGTAAGAGAGCAGTTGCAGACACGATGGTTAGATACTATCACTGATAAGGCCACACTTGGAATACTGCATCCAGTTTTGGTCACAATGATATAAAAAAGATGCTGAGACTCTAGAAAGAGTACAGAGAAGAGCAACAAAGATGATCAGGGGACTGGAGGCTAAAACATAAGAAACGGTTGCTGTAATTGGGAACACTCTGATCCATTCCCCAACTGGGACGAATTGGAGACATTTTTTTCTCTGCATATTCAAACTGGTTCAACCCCATTTTAAAATCAGATATATTGTATATAGTTTTTGCAGTTTCTCCTCACTCTGGTTCAGTTATTGGAGTATTGTTTATTTATTTATTTATTTATTTATTTATTTATTTATTTTATTAATAAAATTTATATGCCACCCAATCCCTAGGGACTCAGGGCGGCGTACAAAATTAAAACAATAAATATAACAATAAAACAATAAAATAAGTGCATTCATACAGCATGTCGCAATCATATCCTGCCCCCCCCCCCGGGACATCAACCCCAGGCCTGCCGGAACAGGAGAGTTTTAATGGCTTTCTTAAAGGCTGGCAAGGTGGGAGTAGTTCGAATCTCGGGGGGAAGTTGATTCCACCAGGTCGGAGCCACCACAGAAAAGGCCCTTCCTCGAGGGCCCGCCACCGACATTGTCTGGCCGACGGGACCTGAAGGAGGCCCAATCTGTGGGACCTCACCAGTCTCTGGGAACTATGCGGCAGTATGCGGTCCTGTAAGTAACCTGGTCCTAAGCCATGAAGGGCTTTAAAGGTGATAACCAACACCTTGAATTGCGTCCGGAGACCCACAGGAAGCCAGTGCAGCTCGCGGAGGATAGGTGACACGTGGATGTACCTTGGTGCACCCACAATCGCTCTCGCGGCTGCATTCTGAACCAACTGCAGCCTCCGAACGCTCTTCAAGGGTAGCCCCATGTAGAGCGCATTACAGTAATCTGGTCTTGAGGTAATTTATTATTCTGCTAATGGATGGACAAATCAGCAGATATAAAGGAAGCAAATACAAACAAAGCATTAAATTTAAAGAAAGAGACTTCTTATATGGCTTGAGCGTTTTTATTTTATTAGAACTGCATTCCTCTCACTGGGAATTTGGTAATTCTAAGATATTATAGTTCAATGCATATCTGGGGACTCAGTCTGAGGCAGCCAATCCTTTAAATGAATTTAAAGGTATTCTGTAATGCACTTAAAACCCTTATCCCAAAGTGGAATTTACTAGGTGCCCTGAGCCAGTAAAGATATGTACTCCTAGATAAAATATGAACTTGAGGTGGAGGAGGCAATTCAAAATGTACACAGAGCGTTTGAAACAGAGAGGGTATTAAAAGCATTAATTTGTGACTCAGTTCATAGATCTTGCACAAATTAGCAAATCTTCCAAAGTACAAAGGAAATTAAATGGGAAAACTATTTACCATATCATGAGGAAAGGATGGATACTGTGAAAATAAAATAATTATAGCTGAACTGGAAGGATGGAAGCTTTGTGACTGGTAAAAAAGAAACAAAGTAAAGGTTACAATCTTTGGCATTTACCAGATGCTCCACAACATCAAGCAACATTAGCATGTTTGGCTCAAAACAACAACAGATGAAAAGCATTGTTGTACAGCTGGAATGCCAAAGGTTGCTTACTATACATTAACCCAATGGCTTTTCAAACTTGGCAACTTTTTGATGGTGGGGAATGGCTGGGGAATTCTAGGTGTTGAAGTCCACACAACTTAAAGTTGCTAAGTTTAGAAAAAAAAAAGCAGCACTCTAAATCTGCAAAACAAGTAAGAACTGTAACTGAAAGAGCCATAATAGCAAATGTTTCTATTCAATTCAACTAATTATTGGCTTAAATTAATGCACAGATGTTTATATTGTTATCTAATATTCCAGACTACGTTTTAGAATTTTTTAAAAATTCCTGTTGACATTAATAGAATCATAGAATATTAGAGTTGGAAGGGACCTTAGAGGTAGCACTTTCCTGCTGCCAATCACATTTGATAACAACATGAGTGCTTAACTAGGAAACTAGATCTGATAAAAACATAATTTTTTCGCAGGCATATTGACACAGGGTTTGAAGAATCTTTAGATACCGATTGCAATAGATTAGGATTTGTTGCATTTATTAACATCACATTTAATACAAAAGGTAGAACAAGTTACATACAAACTACAATATGTTGAAATCTAAGTATCCTTTAAAAGGAAAGCTCATCTTCTATATAAAATCTTACCTGTGCTTAAACCAGTCTAAAAGACATGAAGGAATTAGAAGCAGTCATGTTACTTTGTACAATATGCATGCATACATATGTTTCAGTAAGCAGTGGATGAATAATCAGTTTGTATAATTTATAACAGGATGGTATACTTTTGTTCTTCCCCAGATAAGATCACAGAATTATCAGATTTGTTGAAAAGTATGCCTTTCTGTAGAAATACTAACTACAGAATACACAAAAATTTGTCTTCATTGGTAGCAAAAAGACAGAGCAGGCAATTAACTGTTAACTGAGAAAAAGTAAATTAACACCTTTAGTCGAGCAGATCGCAGCAACTAATTTTCATTGAATTCAATAGGAGCTTTTATCTATTTTGTGCAACAGCTTTTGGGGGAGAAATCAGTAAGCCTGAGTATTTTCAACAATTATGATAGGTTTAAAGGACAGAGGAAGTGGATTTTAAACATCCAATAAGCAGGGATTAAAGAAGTAGCATTTCAAAATAAAGAAGCAGGTCTTAAGAAAAACTTAAAAGCCAGAAACTAATGTTTCTTCACATTATAAACAATACCACACCATAAACCTCTAGAATAGAGATAGATAGATAAAGACTTACATGCAGCTTGTTAATATCCCCCCACATTTAAAAAATATATTCACACACTTTCCCATTTTTGCTCATTTGATTGTAAGATGCTGCTGGCCCATACACATAAGCGAGGCAGAAAGGCAATATTAGCTTCATTTTGATATCCATGATTTTAAAAGGCTTAATTTATATTTCCCATATTATATCTACAATGTCTTTTCAGTTTATGTAGAATATCCTCATTTTCCTCTTTCGGATATTCCTTTGCATTCAGGATTCTATTCTATTATCACTGTACCTGCAGAAATGGAATCTCATTGATTCTGCACAGTTTTTTTTAAAAGGTTTTCCAGATGATTCTTCACTATTACCATAGTAACTGTATTCATCTCTGAGAAAGCAGAGATACTAATAATCCTTAATTTCTTTTATAAATGTATCCAATAGTTTAACTGATAACATTACAGATGTAAGGAAAACTGACACTTAAATGAAGATGTTTACTTTGTTGTATTTTTGAAAAGAACTGAATCCTGAACTACCATACAAATCTTTGGCACTTTAGAAGAACAATCTGCAACTGACATAGAAAGAGAAGTTTTCCCTACCTAAGGTCTGCTTCCTGCACTGCAAATTTTTTTAGGAGAGATAACCATTTAAAAATATATATCCTTTTAAAAAATAAGCTTTTCCAGTGAGCCAGGAGTGATCCAACTGTTATTCAAAACAGTTTTTCAGTACAACTTGGTTTTCAGAGAACGAATCAACACTAGAGATGTTTTTCTTCTACATTGCTGTCTTGAATACCACTAGCTTCTGTTCTGCTCAGACATTAATGTCAATAGTCTCTTGCTAAGCAAGGCATTGTGCCGCTGAAGGTATTCAATCACATCACCTTGCTTTTCAACTACTTCTTCCAAACTTGAGATTTCCCTGAAAAGCAAAATATAATAATAATAATAATAATAATAATAATAATAATAATAATAATAATACCATCATCCTAATTACATTGTCTTTTGCTATTTTAATAGGATTGTTCTTCCCAGCACTCTAACCCTCTAGAACAGAGGTGTCAAACAGCTGGCCTACGGGCCGGTTTCATCATACCGAAGCCGTGCCCACCCCATTACCAGCAATGCAAAGAGTCGCGATACGTCGCAACACATCAGGTGATGTGGCAAGTTTGACACTCATGCTCTAGAACAAAGGTCGGGAACCATGGTCCCTTTATGAGTTGTGGACTTCAACTCCCATAGTTCCCCAACCCCCCCCCCCGCTCTAGAATAATGAATCATGAGATTAATGTACGAAACAATCAGAGCTTAAAAAGCACAGGAGTCAGTGCCAAGGATTTATCCAAGTTCAGAAAGTTTTATACAAGTACCTGAATCCAACTTCTGAGGTAACTTGATTAGGGTAAGAATATATCTTCTCTTCTTCTATTATATCAGGTCTTGGCTTTGCTTGGTTAAAGTTGCTTACTTTCACTTTGAAAACAAAGAAAAGATAAAATGTATTCTGCTACTATCAAACTATATTCAATTAAAAACAAACTTAATTTATAGAAAAAAAATCTCTTCTGTTTCCTCTACAAAATGGAACTGTTCAAAGCATTTACCGTATTTTCCGGCGTATAAGACGACTTTCTAAACCATGAAAATCTTCTCAAAAGTTGGGGGTCGTCTTATACATCCAGTCGTCTTATACGCTGGAAAATATGATACATCAAAGTAAGCTCCCCCGTATCCTGCGCCGCATGCTCCTCACCCCTTGGCATGGGGATTGACTGTCCGGATGAGAGTTTAAGAGTCCCACGTAGCCAAATAGTCCTAGAAAAGTGTCCCTCCGAGAAACAGCTGGGAGGAAGGGGCAAGGTTGGAGCATTGGCAGACCAATGGCGGGAGAGGAGCGCTGGCGGAGAGCCAGCTGAGTAAGGGTCAGCTGGCGGAGAGCCAGCCAGTGTTGGGTCAGCAGTGGGGGCTTCCCAAGAAGTGCCCCCGCTCGCCTTGCTGCCGAAGTGCTGCTCAGCGCTCGCAGAAGGCCAGCGATTTTGCAGAAGCGTCTGCCCCCCAGGCGGGGATCCTGCCCCTCCCAGTCTAGGGTGGTGGAGGGAGGTGGTGCGAGCGGGGCTTTTCCTCCCCCGGGGAAAGCCCCCACCAGCCTCTGCTCGGGTGGCCGGCAGGAGCAGCTGGTGGGAACCGGCGCCTGCGCAGAGGGTGCCACTTCCTTGGGGTTGACCACACCCGGTGCCGTCAGGCTGAGCGCCAGAAGCCCTGGGACCCCGACGGACAGACGCTCAGCGTTTCCTCCTCCGTGCTCAGCTGTTTCTTTGGCAACCTGTCGCCGTGGCTGGTGCTCACTGCGCAGATGACAGAGCGATCCGCCCACGGTCTGGCAGGCGCCTCCACCGACGGACTTTAGGATGCGCCGCCTTTGCCAGCCCCACCTGGCGTGGGCAGCCTTGGGGGTTGGGCAAGTGGGAGTAGAGGGTGTTTTCAGATCCATTTGGAGAAAATGGATCCAAAGTCTTTACCTGTTGGACAGCTGGGCTTGGCTAGCGCCGCAACCCGCTTTCCTCCCCCCTCCCGCCTCCTGCTATCCTTTAGTCCTCGTCATATACTGCAAAGCTTCACAAATGCACCCCCATGCTTATTATGGGATGTTACCCAGCTACATTTGTCTTCAGCATATCAGGAACAAGCAATGAAATATAATGAAATGATAATGTGTTTAGGACTTACATTACTTTTATTAGAAAGTTAAAGTACCCGTATTTTCCGGCGTATAAGATGACTTGCTAAACCATGAAAATCTTCTCAAAAGTTGGGGGTCGTCTTATATGCCCAGTCGTCTTATATGCCGGAAAATACGGTAAATATAAAACAAGAAGCATAAGAAAAAAGAGAGTTGTCTTATTATTCAGACCCAGAGAAAATCAGAGAGCCCAAACGATAAAGTTAAATAAAATGACAAAATCCAAGATTAATTTAAAAGGAATTTTGTAGCATAAACAGAGAACATAAATATTCTGCTTCCAAAAATAAAAATCCCTGCACATATTTCATTAAATGTGCCTCTAAAGGTAATTAGTTATGAAAAAGAATCACAGCAACTAAATATTCACATGAATGAAAACAGTTCTTCAGAAAGCTTTATCTCAAGATGTTTAGGACTTTAATCTAAAGCAAACAATTTAGCAATTCTGGAATATACTCCATACAAAGCAAGAATAGGAAGTTTTTTCTTTCGCCTTTTCTCTAAACCCTCCCCTTCCCAAAAAGGAATAGTCACTTTAAGTCCAAACATGTCATCTTAGGGACAAGGGGAAAAAAACCCTCTACAATTGTGCAGTTATTTTTTTCTTTATATAATGCAATCACCGATCCTGTTTTACATAGCATGTTTATTGGGAAAGGGTATTGATATATTATAACAGGAAAACTGGGATAATTTTTACCCAGTCAACTGAAGAGATTTGGACTTAGTCCAAAATATCCTGAAAAAGAGCCAGGTTATATTTAATAAATTCACCAAAGAAAGAAAATTTTTTATATCTGGAAAAGAACTAGACTTAGTGGACCACTACCTATAGATTGGCCAATGGATTTCAATGGAAGGTGATACAATAAAGGAAACTGAACGGCAGGTTAAATGTGGTTGGCAGGCATGCGGTGAGCTAAGCATAATTTTCAAGAACTTCCCTCTATGCCTGAAAAGTTTTCGATCAGTGTGTGCTACCTGCTCTAATATATATGCTGGACACTAGCATCAAAACAAGACAAGATAGAAAGACCTGCACATGGATTCAAGAACAAACAAAAGTATACAATATCATCAGGAGAGTAAAAGAATTCAAATGGAAATGGGGTAGTCACATAGTAAGAAAAACTGACGGCAGGTGGACCAAGGCAGTCATAGAATGGATCCCACTTGATAAGATGTGTCCATGAAAGAGACTAAAACAAGATGGATTGACAGCATCAACAAGTATTGCGGGCCCAATTGGCAAAAGAAAGCTCAGGACCGTATTAGTTGGAAACGTGGAAGAGGCCTTCATCCTGAAGTGGATAGATAATGGCTAAAATGATAATGATGATTCTGGATGAATGGGGAATACATCTTTTGGATGACTATGGAGTGTTTGTCTTAACTGATATTATTCTCAACATTCAACAGAGATAATGTCCCAGAAAAGCCCCATGTGAAAAAGACCTGTTTTGGTGTTCCATCAGTTTTCTTCCCCATCAAATTTAAAGAAACCAGGAGCTGGATATGATAAACAGTGGCATCACTATTTTCCCCCTCTGCTCAAGAAAATAATATGGGAAATGGGAACAGTGGGCAAACTCTTCCAGCGTGCGTTGTGCCAATGGGAAAACAATCAACCAAACAAGGCTTATTTGTTATCGGTGAGCAGAAATGGGTGAACTGGCTAAGCAAGAGGATTGCTAGGTAATTTGTCATGTGAATACAATCATAATATATTATTACTACTAGGAAATGCAATGAGGAGAAAAAAATGGAGACAGGTATTAACAGGGAAATACCATGTGACCGTTTCAGCTATTTTTACACTTTACAGCAAGCTAACTATTCACTTGTTAACTCGGAGAAAAACCTTGTCAATTGGGTTATTTCTGTGATGGGATATTTTGCTAGGAAATATGGAAGTATGGCTTATGTAGCATTCTTACTCTAAATTGTTTTAAAGGGCCATGAGGTTGGAGTCCTATTTAATTCCCTTAATTTTTTTAAAGGAGCATTAAAAGGCTGTTTTGAAATGGTATGAATTAAAGTAGATATGCTTACTGAGTTGATGGGTAATGTATTCCAATACATTGTGGGGAGAGGGGGGAAAGGGTGGAAAGGATCTGGCTAGGAAAAACTGCATAAAAGTATCATCATTCACATCCAAGATTTGGTTCTGCAAATATGTTTTCAGAATGAATGCTTGAATACTTAGTCTTTAACCAACGAGGAGTTAGCGAATATAACGGAGAAGATTGTTTTTATTTATTGGTCTCACATCAACACAATGCTTCATTCTCATCTACTCAATCAACAGCTCTGTGTGAACAGAAAAACTCTTCCTATCTGTACTAGAATTGCTTTACTAGGCCACCTGCTATGTAGGAAGAGGGCTGCATGACTGATCAGAGGAATAACTAAAGCAGGTGTGTCTACAAGCTGTAAAAAGCATTAGATGCATTTAGCTCTCAAGCTGCCTTAGAATTCAGGTATCAAAGTGCAGATCAGATTACCCCAAAGCACACATTCCAAACAATTGTCATTTAAAAGGTGCCTAAAGGTGGGCAGTGGAGCAGAATCTTAAACGATGGGTAAGCTAGTGATTTTGTTACTACACCTGTAAACAAAGCATTTAACTGTGCCATCTAAAAATAATATAACTATTTCTTTCTGATTATAAGTCAGATGAAGAGACAGGTGAGGATGATTAACAGTACAGAGTGGAACCATGGGCATCTGCTGGGGCACAAAAGATGGCTCTGCTCCATTTGTGTGTTGTTATATTGCACATAGGTATGTAGGGACAGAACCTGCATTCTGACATCATGACACTCATTTCGACACTTTGTCAAAGACATTGATTCTTAATAGAACCTAGACTAATAGAGTTGGGAGAAGCTGTCCAGTTCCTTGCTCGAGCAGCAGACCTGATGCCATTTCAGACAAACAGAACTAAAGAATTGTGTGGCACATAAAAGACTAGCCAATGCGCTGCATTACATATTTACAGCAATTTGTGTGCTGTCATACACATTGCCAGTGAAAATCAGTATCACTGACCAAGAAGCAATCAAGGAAAACACTGACAAAGTAGAAGAAAGTAAAAAAAAAAAAAAAAAAAAGAACAACTGTGTAGATCATGGGTGTCAAACTTGCCGCATCACGTGATGTGACATAGCATGACTTTTTTCGCATTGCCAGAACTGTATGATGCAACCGGCCTCTGTATGATGCAACCGGCCCATGGGCCAGCAGTTTGACACCCCTGGTGTAGATGAAGAATGTAGATTCTATGGCTATGCAAAAGTGTGCATTCAAAGGGCAAAAAGGGATCCTATTTTTGCTTTTTGAATTTGGATCTCTGCACAGACTTATTATATAAAGTAGTAAAGAATTAATGGGCCAGGATACACAGCATGATTTTTGTTAACCCTTTTAAATTTTCAATATTTACACATAAATATGACCTAAATGTTGAGAATCATTTTCTTCAATAAATAAATGAACAAATGTGTTTTTTATTCATGTACAGTTTTAGGAGTTGTGTGGAGATAAGATCATGTTTTAAATCATATTTATGCAGAAATATTGAAAATTCAAAAGGATTCACAAACTTCTAAGCACCACTGTATGTATTTAGCTATTTCAAAGTGCTATTTTGCTTCCATCACATTTACAAAGATGCCTTAGAAGCTAGCTAAAATCTGTGCTTATGTTGCCATTATGTGTTAAATGAGACTATACACAAGTCACATACTTTTTTGTTGTAGGTTCTAAATTTTATTTCTTTAATTGTGAACACTGGGAGACTCTGTAATGGGTCAGAGAAACAGAAAAAGCAGCAAGTCCAATACAAAGCCACAATACTCGAAAGCCAACTCCTTTGGCCCCCACAGCAATTTACAGATTATTCACATACACCAGGCATGTCAAACTCGACTTTTCCCCCATTGCTGGCAATGGGGTGGGTGCGGTTTCATCGTGACGCATCTGGCCCGCGGGCCAGCAGTTTGACATGCCTGACATACACTTTAACTTCTTAAAATACAGATTCCCCAGCATGGCCTGAAAAATAATAGCATGGTGTCATTTTTGCCTTCTTTGCTGCAATAACTTATAACATTATCTTACTTTACTGTCAATGCTACATTCTCTTGACAGTTTAGCTTTTTTCATCCTAAGAAAGAGACTGGGAAATTTTATTATTCTTATAAGGCTGCATCTTGTGCTTGAGTTTCTCTAACACTCTCTGAATTGTGCAAATATATCTCACAATATGCATTTTGCTCTTTCCTTCCTTAGCTACCATGTGCACAGTAAAAAATAAAGAGCCTTGAACTATTCATGAAGAGATGTAGCTGCTTATCAGTGCCAGGCAAAAAGCTTCTCAAAGCAGCTGCTTTGCCACAAAAGATGGCTCTCACTGCCAAGGGAGGAATTTCTTTATCAACAGCTGCATTTTGTATGCTCTATTTTTGTGCTGTACACTGCCCCAAGCCCTTGGGATACACCAGCGTAAAAGTTGAAAGATGTAAGTGTCATGCAAACAATTGCAGCTTACAGTTCCACCACCACCACCACCACCACAAAAGTTAAGTCCAGTAACATCCGCATCTTTGTCCTCTTCTAAAGTTAACATTTTTTTTCAAATGTATTAAATTACATACTTTTTCTTAACACCGTATAGAATAACACTGAGAAGACTGGTGGTATGATTTCCTATAATACAAATATTAAGCTGATAGCTTGTAAACTTTTAGCAGCCCTCTTAACTTAATGTTAATAGTGCTTTAAAAAACACGAGAATGAGTGGCTTAGTCATCTTAACAAGGCAAAGATACAATTCTTACCTGTGTAGACAACTAGACATATCAATGAACATATCAATTCCATAGCCAAGATTCCCAGCATGAAGCAGAGATACATTTTATTGTGATTAGGAAACGAATGTTGCAATGACACTATCAGCAATAGAGCCACATTTCCTATTAAAAACAAATAGAACACATTAGAAACAGAAATCTGGGTTAGCTTCCCCCACAAAGCCACAATGATTAAAAGTCAAGGTCCTGGGGGATGGCCACTAAACAGTGAAGGGTAATCTAGATTTTTCCAAATATAGCTCAAAATTAACCCTTACTTAATAGTGGCGCAATAACTTTAAACTAAATTGCATGCAAGAGATAGCCTTGATCAATAGGCCATTAAAATAAATCCATATACAGCTCATTCTAATGAGCTAAAATAGAAACAAACAAAGAAAATGTATTAACTGTCTGCAGGGCTAGGGCTAGGGCCTGAATTCAGTTCTCCCCTTCATTATGCCTTCCAGAACAATTCAGTCAGATTATCTATGTAAGAGTTTTGGATGAATCTTTACAGTAATGGGCTAATCTTACTGGAATGATATATGCTATTTATTTTTATTGGATTTCCACCAGTCACACCATCTTTTAGGAGTAATGTTATGAACATATATAAGACTGTTCTTGGTCAAATTAATATACAGACTGATTGAGTACTGTCAAATCAATGTCAACTTTTAGTAACCATAGCTGAATTATCTTTAGGATGATTTATTTTTACCTTGGCCTTTTAGGTTGTTTAGGGATGTGATAATTTTAACAATCACTACAATCATTTGCTTTCCGTATGTATCCAAATACAAGAGCACATTACCATTGCATTCTTTTCCACAATACAAATATTTTGTTGTTGTTCTCCCCCCTTCCCCCTCACTCCAATCCTTCTTGTATCAGTTCTGTCTTACACAGACAAAACTCAACAGGTTCTGCTTTTTATACAGGTGTCTGCTCGATTTAGCTGGGCTGCTGGGATGACCTTTATATCTTGGGTGACTGTACTGAGAAAAAAAAAACCATTTTGGCTATACCTTACCATCCTTCCCAAGAACATTCACCCTATAAGAATGAGTCAGCGTAGCAGGACTTACAAGTGAAATGATTATTAGCATAGTGTAAAAGGACAGTATTTTTGTTTCATAGCAGCTTAGCCCAAGCACTAGATCTTAAAGAAAATGTATCCTCTGTTTAAATAGTTATGGGCCATCTGGCCAATTTTTCTATCTCTAGAGCTCTATCTAGTGGCCTCATTCCAGTGGTGCACATCTAACATATTCATCAATCTGTAGATCAGTGTTTCTCAACCTTGACAATTTTAAGGCATGTGGACTTCAACTCCCAGAATTCCACAGCCAGCAATGCTGGCTGTGGAATTCTGGGAGTTGAAGTCCACATGCCTTAAAATTGTCAAGGTTGAGAAACACTGCTGTAGATTGTTGATTGGTTCAAACTGCAGTTTGTGTATATATACACAAACAAACACACACACACAGAGAGAGAGAGAGAGAAATATGTCAGGTGCTTAATTTAGAAATAATACAATTTTTTCATTAGAGAAGAAATAGACTTCTTTTCAAAGGGTGCTTATTAACTTTTAATATCTGGAAAAAAGGTTTTTCATTCTACTCAGTTAAGCAAGCTTAGAATTGCTCAGTGGCAAGTGTTGGCCCTTCAAGGTAGTCCAGAGAAGAAGTGCAACCAGGAGCACCAGATTATTTTATTGCAAGGTTCCATTAAACAGAATTTTGCAAGACTGAAAATATTCCCCCCTTCTATCTTATTGGTCTCTGGAAAGCTAAAAGGGTTCCCCTTTGAAATGCTTCCCATCCTTTCCCCCCACCTGCAAACTAAGCTGCCTCTTATCAGATGTTGTCCAGGCTGCTAGTCTTCCTCTCCCAAGGTCATCCCCAACACTATCATATAACATGGGAAAACTGGGAGCCACAACATTCTTGTCTTGTTTCATAATTAGATAAACAAGGAATATAAATATAACGCATATAATGACAGGTTGAGTTAGAAATATAAATTTAAAAATGAAATTAAGCAGTACTACCATAAGAGAAAAGAATCTCTCCAGTTTTGTAAGACTGCATCTTTTAATACTTATTTAATATTTGTTTTATGTTCACAATGCATGTCATTTTCCATCTACATGCTACATGTACTACTTATTTCTACATGCCAATGAACGAACTGATAAAAGTGGACATTGTCTTACTAGTAGGCAAGATCCAAACCAACAGACCCAAGATAAAAGCTTTCAAGTAAACATTAATCTAGATAATATAAGCTATTTGACACTAGACTAGAGTATATTAAAAGTTGATAAACTTTCATCCTTGAAAGCAAGGCCAAAATCTTATTTTTCAGGGATGTTTCAAATCAATATCTTATATTTATCATGTATCAGAATAGAAGTTTCCAACTCTATTAATAGTACCCCGGCACTTGCAGTCCTAATGAAAAAGTGCCTTGGATATATGCTTGATCTCTAAAGCAGTGGTTTTCAACCTTTTTAATACCGCGACCCCCAACTGGTCATAAGTCGAGGACTACTCAACTGGTGCAGCACCGTTTGCAGAATGGGACTTTTGGCGGACTCAGCAGGGCAGAGACAGCCTGGACAATTCCTATTGGCTTTTGAAAGCCAATAGAATTGGACTCTATTCAAGAGAGTCTATTCTATTGGCTTTCAAAAGCCAATAGAATAAAAGGGAGTAGCACAGCCAAGGAAAAGGGGGGGAAAATGGCGGACTGCATTGTTTGGCGACCCCTGTGAAATGGTCATTTGACCCCAAATGGGGTCCCGACCCACAGGTTGAGAACCACTGCTCTAAAGAATTAGGACCACTGGTGTTACTGCAAATTTTCTATGCATGTAAAGAGGTAAAAATACAGATATGATACTCATATCTATGGACTTATTTACCTCATAGTGGCCCTGGTACAATTAAGACAGCACATTATCGCTTTTCATTGTAGAAAATATAATGTGACCATTACTTGGTAGTGGCTCTATTTGAAAATATGCTGCAGTGTAAAATGTATTAAATGCATGAAAAATAAAATCATATTTTTAAAAATCTTTTAAAAGTCTGAGCAAGATTTTATACTTTTTATTAGTCATAGCTATAATAGTGACTTGTTTCAATTTACTAGAATGAAAGTTTCAACTTGTCAGAATAAAATACATCACTACAAAAATAAGTCATAAAAATTTCCACCCTGGATATGTAACATCATTACTGCATACTGAAATACCTGAATTTAGATAAAAAAACATTAATTACATTGAATTAAGCATTACTTAATTAAAATAAGCAAGTATATTCTGGTTCACCTGTTGACTGAATTAGTAGGGGAACCCTTTTAAGATGTCTTGTAGTTCGGTAGATGCGGAGGTAACCTCTGCTTCTAGCTTTGCTGTGATGAAAGTGAATGTATCGTTCCAGGAGCAGATGAAGAATCCAGAGAATTACCTTGGCAATTACTATAATAGTCTGCACTTTAAAAGGATAAGTGTAGTTTTCAGGGCACGTGTCTTCACTTGAATCAGCATAAGAACAAATCACCCCTGTCACAAATGCCAACACAACGAAAGTAACCTAAAAATAGAAGATATTAAATAATTATATGTACTAACGAAGTATTATCAGTCAGGTTTCATACAAGCTATTTATTTCTATTTAAGCGTCCTTATATTGTTTTTGTTATGAGCTGAATTACTGTTTCAACTGGGAATGCTTGTATTTACCAGTTCAGGAACAATACCACTATAACCCAATTTTAAGCATGACAGAATATTCTAATGCAAATATGCACCCAAGATATAGCTATGCATACATTTAGGGCACTTTATAACCAGTTGAAGGGTCATGAAAAGTCTGTAAAATTCAGCTTTGGCTTTCTTCAAAAGAGTCACTGGGGTTGTTCAACATCCTCTTTAAATAGCACAAAGGCATTATGGTGAGTCCCCAACTTACAATTATGTATGTTATTTCATTAAACTTTTCAAGATACCAGAGTTATATTTTCTCAGTTCAGGAAGTCTGGGTGTGCACATAAGGCCGGTTTCCACCAGCCTGTTTCTGGCAAATGATATAGCCATGGGCTATATAAAGATTCTAACAGGAAACAGTAAATTGAAGATAAATTTTGAGGGTCAGAAGCTCTTTATTACAGCCAACATTCCAGTATTCAAGGATTATAAATCACTACTGCCAGTAGATGTGTATAGCCATGGGTTAAAAATTATTCAACATAAGCTAGCAAAAACACCTCAAGATTCTAGTATAGTTATCAAGAAGCTTTGGGATAATTGAAATTTGTGATACTTAATATCCAAACTGACAGATTTAACTTGCAGCATTGCATCCATTTTAACACGAAAAAGTCTATTTAGGTGACTTGCAACTTGTGGTTTGAATTAAAAAACTGTCCTGCTGAGAAATATTAGAAATATTTAAACTTTCACTTCAGTGAAATAGGAACTCATTCAGAAAAGGGGAAGTACAGCTTCTGCTTTATTATTATTTTTTCCACTTCTATTGTAATCTATCCTGAACATAATGAAGGTAGTCACTATGTTAATTCACTTGTAAAGCAAAGAGAGTTACTTAATCTGGTTTTAATATGTGTCACTGCTTCCGTCATCAAGCTCTTAGAGTTATGTTTTCTTTCTTCCCTCACCCTCTATACTGAAGCATCTCTCTCTTTTATTACATCAACAATACTGCTTGACATATGCAGAAACCGTTTTGATTGCTCTATTTCATTTTGTTAATAGTCAGTAAGGAGACATGGCAATTCAGATTCCAGTACTGTAAGAATAACAAAAGCTAGATTTATTAGTTATGGCACCAGAAATAGGAATCTTCTGCACACTCCATTTTGTTTTTAATTTTCTCAGTTGAGGTATGATCCCCACCCTGAAAGTTGACAAAACTGTAACTGTAAATACAGTGGTACCTCGGTACTCAACATTAATTGGCTCTGAGAGGCACACCGAGTACTAAAAAATACGAGTGCAAAACAAACAAGGTGACTTTCCATGTGACTCTTTGTTTTGGCCAGGAAGAACTTTCTATCTGTCCTTTTTCCGATGCCAGCAACCTTCCCAGCATGGCCGACTTCCTCTCTGCCCTCTGCAGCTGGCCCCCTCTTCCTTTTGCAGTGTGTCAAATATCAAAGAAACTATGAGTACCGATACAACATTTTGTGCATCAAAATGCATCAACTACCGGTACCAAATTTGACAGGTTTTGAAGCAGTCGAATACTGAGGTACCACTGGAATAATGATAGGGCAACACTGTCTTAAAATGATACTAGATGCCTCTGCCACTTTTAAAGGACCAAGAAGGAAACACTGATATAAATTTGTGACATATCTTTCTGCTGGGGGAGGGAGCAATTTAGGTGGCAGAGAAAGAAGTTGGTATTCCTAATTTGTAGATCAGCCAAATGAAATAGGCACACTTTACCATTGGTCTTCAGACAAGCTAAGCTGATCATTTGTAGGACTCCACATCTCTTTTTTTCTTCAACTTACATGCAAAAGCAACAAAACATTGGCAACAAAGACTGTAGGTATGGCACAGAACTCTGGATGCAGCCTGGAATGTAATGTATGGCGTGGAAGAAGGGGTGCATCAAGTAGAGGGTCATCATCCATACTCTGTGTTACCTCCAAGGACCCCTGAAACAGATGACAAAATTTTTTAAACCTGAAAGTCAAAATAACTTTTACATATGCAGAAATCAATTATGCTATTTGTGCAAGTTGTCTCACACTAGAAAGATCTGTAAATTTCAAAAAACAAAATATTTTCAACAAAATCCTATTTGTTTACTTGGATGTACCTCCTACTATGCTTAATAGGATTTAACATCATCCACAGAGAATTATAGTTATCATCTAATTTTAGAATTACCCGGATTATAGCAATGGAGGTTCGGAGTATGGGAAAAGACCCCCTTCTCCAGGAAAATGTTGCTATAAAAAACAGTATAAATCCAATCAAAATATTCACCTCAGCATCTATAAATTGCACATTGGGCTACATTATTTGAAAGCAAGCAACATAACTGAAAAGTGAAAACATGTGATGGTAAATGAAATTTAATTTTCTTAAGCTAATACATGCATCCTACAATATGTTTCTAGGTTTGACAGGAGTGTAGCTATATGTTTCACCTGTAGGGAGCAAAACCCCCCAAAGTATTCCCTGAAAAAAATGCACATCTGACACTGGAAACAGTTCCTTTCCCCCATTTACCTTCTCTTCACCAGCAATGCTTTAGCTAAGAAGACAATTCCTCAACCTTGATATTTCTCTGCCCACAGGTAAAAATAACTCAAGTTTTGGGTTTTTTTATAGATACTATTTTATAAAAATCAATACACACTAACATAATTTACTGTTTTTGACAACAAATTCTGTATGTAGACCATAAATTCTTGTTTCACAAATAAAGTTTTAATACATTATAGAATAAGTAAGTGAGCATAGAGTATCTCATGATCTGAAAAAATAAATACCTCAAAAGTCACTTTTGGAAATACAGGCATTCTTACTCTTTACATTGCATATAACTCTTGCCAGCCAGTGAGAAGCAATTTGATTTGCTTAGATCTGTATGTGACCTTAAGGAATAATACCCTAACATATTAGGAACTTTCTACTAAGAAGCATGTTCTCCCCATTTTCAGATGCTTCAAATATAACACTAACTAAATACATTTCTCCCCAACTTTGATTCTCATCCTTTCAGATACTTTTATTTTGAATTTTGCAAGCCTCCCTTTGAAACCCTAAAAATTCAGAGTTAAAATTATAATTCCTGATCAAATTTGTCAACATATTCCTGACAATTTCCTCCGTCGGGGGGGGGGGGGGAGAAGGATTTTTTTTCTAATTAACCTATTTATAATTTAAGTTTTAAGAACCTCTGGACAAAAAAATATTTAAAAATCCATCAAATACATACTAATATGTCAACAAACAGCTGACAACCAAGTATATAATCTTCTGGCCACAAGGAGGCGAACACAGCAGTTCACTTCACATTAAACTGAACACAACGCTACTTTTGTGTATATTTTTCAACATAAGATCTTTTTAGATTTGTTTACCGTTAACAATTGCAAGCATTTTTTTCACTCTTAATATATTCATTCTACAGGAACCAAAAAGACCTTTAAAACGGCAGGACTTCCGGTTTTGTGCCCACAGCGCATGGCCGCACGAAGGCAGACCTCCGCTCCCATGGTTAGTTTCTTTCTGCTTGGGGGACCTAGATGGGTCCGAAGTTGCCCCGGAGAGGTGACCATGAAGGAAAGGCGCCCCGTTGATCATGAAGCGACGGCAATTGCTTCGTTTGATTTGGGGAAAGCCCTCCGAACCCCACAGGAGAAAGGCTAGCATGAGATCAGCGTCTAGCCCAAGCTGCTTGCAGCTGAAGTCCCAGAGCACGAACCTAAACATCGGTGAATAGCGTGCTTGGAATTGGTAAGATATTGATCTTCTTCCTTCTATCTACTAACTAAATCCTTGAAAAGATCCCCAAAGCAAGAAAACCTCCAGAAGTGAAGGGAGGAGACTATATCTCCATTCCCTTACAGATGGAAGCAGCAAATTAATATTAAAGGAGGGAAGAAATATTAAAATTTGATTTAAAATACTTCAGTCTGGACAAATTTAGGAACTAAAAAACTGTCAAGATTATACTCTAAATTTTTTTTTGTTGGAATTATAAAAATATATAACAAAAATAACTTTTTGATTGAAAGAAAAATTGAAAAAAGAAATAACTGCTGACATCTAGTGGAGATTCAGAATAGAACACTAACAATAAGGATTCAGAAACTGGCAGAGTGCCTAGAAACAAAGAAAAAGTTGTTCCTTTGAATTGCAAATAACCTTGAAGACAGCTGGGAACAAAGGAAGAAAGGGGAAGGGGAAAAAAACCACCTGGACTGTTGCTTAAATTTAAGAACTGTTTATGGAAAAGAAAAACCTTGGCTTTTTGGCTAATCTTTTAGAGGAGAATCTGTAGGAAGGATTTAAAATGGCTTAACATACTGAACTGTAATTTTGACTGACTGATAAACTGACTTTTGAATTAAAACACTGATGAAATATTATTTGAAGGGGGGAGACAACACAGATATCACATATGTATCAAAAAATGACAGGATGCCATATTCAATATTTTCTCCTGAAAGATGTAGCCTGGAAAATCAAGGGCCTCCAGAAGCAATACTTCAAGGCAAGATAAATACTTCCCAGGAGGAAATATATGTAATATTAGGACAAATACAAATGACAAAATAAGAGGAAATCCGAAATAACTTTGATGATTTAAATAAGCATATTTCCAATCTAAATTTACAATTGAAAAATATCCAAGAAATAACAAAAAAGGCACAAATAAATCAGACAGCAGACTACAAATTAGAAGAGTATGATCAAATTGATGAAACAACAAAGGAAAAGAATTACAATTTGACATAAATAGGAAAAAATCTTCAAGGTTCTGATACAACAAGAAAAATGGAGTTATCAGGAGAACCATCAAAGTTTGGGAGACAGAAAGTATTTATCTTACTTACTTCATCTTTTGTATTCCCAACAACATTTGTAAAAATACAGGGTAAGCGGATTACACCTTGGAAAATTACTTGGCAAAAGAAGAAGACCAGAGACATATACCGGTACAAGAGATTTGACTCACCTACCAGATGGACTATTACGTGAATAAACATTTGTTTGAATATGGCTAAAAGAACAGAGAATATTAAACACAAAGGAGCCTTATAACAAGAAGAATAAGAGATTTAAGTAATATGTTTTATAATATATGAAATGTTAAAATAGTAGGTTGATGTAACTTATTAATATATAAGTGAAATATAAACTGATTAAAAAGATGTTGTATCTAGATATTATAAGATAGATAAAAAGTATAGTATTTTTATAATGCATGATATAAAATATTGGGAGGATGTACCTAAATGGGAAAATTTGGACAGTTAGATGACAAATATGAAGAAATTATGACTGATAAGAATTGGATTGAATATAAGGGAATTTAAGCGAACAAAAACTATAAAAATAGGATGTATACTACTCTAATGAGATGATGGTTATGAGAATATAAGCTGAAAAAATGTTATATAGAGAGATTATAATTATTTGTATAATTATAAAAAAATGCCTATATCTAATCATTTATATATTGAAAATATTAAGAATTATATTTTGGCTGAAGGAGGAGAATACAAACGGGAGAAGGGAAGATCAAAGAAATGTATCATTAATTAATATATTAATTACGGAATTATCAAATTTAATTATTATTGTTAATTATTATTGTCCTTTTTTTCTTGTTAAAATACAAACCAAGACAACACACTGTACACTAGGCTCCGGAGATTGTTATAGTTAAAAACTAATAAAATATCTGTTAAAAAACCCCCAAAAGATCTTTAAATCTTGCTTCAATTTTCCTATTCAACATGAGATGTAACAATCAGAAATAGACAAAGCAAATATGTCAAATAGATAGCTCTTTTCTGAGAATAGGTTCTCATAAATTTACTTTATTATTTATTTTTTTATGCAGCCACTTCACTCAAATTCATTTCTTTCTGGGCAGAATGTATGTATGTATGTATGTATGTATGTATATAAACTAGAAAAGATTTTAGATACTCTTGGCCAGGGAAGTATTTTCTAAATTAATACAATAGGCTTTCAGAACAAAATATTTCCTATTTGTGCTACAGTAATATGTTTTGTTTCTAATCAATAAAACAAAATATTGAATTGGAATGTAGGTATCATGGAAGTTATATTTTCAAATAAAGCAAGTCAATCCCTATTGTTGAAGAGAAACAGCATGGTCTTCAAAATCTTTGGGAAAACTGTCTGGTTTTCATGGGCATCCTTTGTATTTCAGACTTTTTAAAAGGAAATGCCAACACTGTAGTTCAATATTACCAGAAAGGAAGGTGTGGTGTTTAGTGGTTTAAAGACACTGGGGAAGGTCTGTGATGGTTCAAGTCCTAGCTCTTGTGTGGTGGGGTGAGCTTCTTCACTTGCCTCAGCTTCTGCCATCCTAGTAGTTTGAAGTAAATAGGTACCACTTTGGTGGGAAAAATAACAGTGCTAAATGCGGAAGTGTGTGAATCCAACCAGTGTTTGATCTGCCCGAATGTGACCTCCCGCTAGTTTGCTCCCTGTGATGTACCAAACAGATTAGGCAGTTAAACAACTACTCAGTATTAACACTGTTGTCTCCTGGCTAATGTACCATCACCATACGCTAAATAAAATAATGGGAAGTAGTAAGTAATTAGTTTTAAGAGTGCTAACATTGTAATGTATAGATGTCTATTGAAATGTATATTCTACCTATTGGATAAAATTTATATGTAGGCTCAAAATATAATATATCTTAATTTCACATTTGTTTCACCTTTCACAGAGAAAGAAACCAAATTATCATTCCCAATGGACAAAGGATCATGAGCCGAGGTGGCGCAGCAGTTAGAGTGCAGTACTGCAGGCCACTTTAGCTGACTGTTCAGCAGGTCAGCGGTTCAAATCTCACCGGCTCAAGGTTTTTACTCAGCCTTCCATCCTTCCGGGGTAGGTAAAATGAGGACCCAGATTGTTGGGGGCAATGTAAATATATATATACATTGCTTACTGGTGTACACCGCTTAGAGAGTGCTTGCACTTAAAGCGGTATATAAGTCTCATAAATAAATAAATAAAGGAAGGAAGAAAGACAACTCTTCCCTCAGTTCTAGTCAGCATGACCAACAATGAAGAAAAGTCAATTCTTATAACTGGAGACCAATGAATATTTAATCTGTTCAATGTATTTCACATTGTAATTTTTAATTTACAAAATTGTTTTTCAAATACATAAATTTTAGAAAACTAGCACAAGACACAGGAAAGCAATCCTTTTGACAAAAAGGTCAAGATTCTGCACAGAACTTATTTTCAGTGCCAGAATCAGCCACAGCAGATAGGCAAACAGAATCACTTTCTCAAGTATCTTTAGTTTTGTCTTGAAATCTATTATTGATCCTACTGAAATCCTAGCAAACTGTGTGCAAATTCATCCTGGGGGATAATCCTGACATTTTATATTTGTACTCTTGACCAGTTTTATAAATTTTGGTAGAACATAAAACAATTTATCTAACAGTGCTTCCTAGCACTGTAACTTCAGCATTTGTGCAGAAAGGATTTCAAGCCAAAATAGGGAAGGGAGGAAACAGAGGAGGAAAACCGGAACACCGTCCTAGGATATTAAGCAGACCTATAACTATGCCCGACACAAATTCATCCCATTGTCACATACATGCCCATTTCACAGGTCCAACGGACAGGGTTTGGCTCGCTATATTGTGAGAAAGTTATTGGGGAGATCCTAAAAAATTAACTCCCAAGAGCTCGAGAAGCGAAATGCATCCTGTCTCCAAAGAGAAATGAAAGAAAATCAGTGCCATCACATGATCGTGACGAGAAGCCTTCACGCTGGGGCTCTCCAAACCCGAGACTAGCCCTCCCGGAATCGCAACTACTAGGCTCATCATATTGGTTAGCTACGACAGCAGCTGCGGTCCGACTCATTTGCACAGCGCCGGGCTGAGGGCAATAATCAAGCGAGGGGGGTCAGGGCGAGCCTAAGCCAACTGCTGTAAACCTTGGGAAGTTGGGAGGTCTGGACTCCCAACTGTTGCAAACTCCGCACCGTCGCCACCCTCCCCGACTCAAGGCTCGCCGTTCACAGAAGCGTCCGTAGTAGCCTCCAAATACTATCACGCCAGGGAGCCCAGCACCAAAACTCACATTATCCAGCGAGCGCAACTGCCGCCGCCCTCCTGAAGCCAAAGCTCCCGCCATCGTGGGCTGTCCTGCAGCTGCTTCCGGTGGCCCGCCCCCTTCGTGGCAATGAATAAAGGAAACACTCCGCCTCCTCCGTTCTCGAGCACGACGTAGCGCATCTTCGACTTTTGTTTTCCCTCCAAAGTTCCGCCCACTTTCTGACATTGGAGACACGTGTCTCTCAAAATAACCGCCTCTGTCTCGAGGACCCCGCCCCCCACGGGTTGTCCGCTAGGCTGCCCAAGGGACAAAAGGGAAAAGTGCTATTTACTTTGCCGAAGGAGCAACTTCTTTTACCTGCTGATTACGTGTTTGAGGTGGGTGGGCTCCTTCCGATTTTCAGGAAAGGGTATGCCTAAAGCGAAGGAGAGCAGAAGGATGAATTCGAGAAAGGGGCAAAAATGCATTTCTGAAAGCAAAACAACCACCGTCTTCTGTCAGGACTAAGAGAACACGACGATGAATGCGGTGGCTGATTTATTTGTCCTACATATCTGGCAATGAGTTTAAACGTGACACAATCTTAACTTCGATCCCAGATTTGCCCCTTAGCCCCATCTCGTATCTAGCCCACGAGTTAGCTTCAGTCATCATTAATTGTCCTGGAATAACACGTTTCTTCTTATTCTGACATTATCTAAGAGTTCCCTGTCAGCTTCAAAGGGAGGCAAAATGCACTAATATTTCCTAACAGAATAATTAATCAATGGAACGAGTTGCCTCCAGAAGTTGTGGGTGCTCCACAACTGAAATTAATGATTAATGCCTTAATAGAAGAGAATTAATGTGCAATTTTGTCATATTTTTTAAAGCAGCATCATGTGTCTTTTTTATCTAACATACATTTTATGTTAAAAGTATAATTGAAAGAATAACCTGTATTTTTGTAAGCATACTAAAATCTACTGACCCAGAGATGGTGCAGTACAGCACACACACAATCATTTATATTATATTGTATGTTTAGGTGTGTGTCATGTATGTGTTTCACTTTGAGAGCAGGCAACTAAATTTCATCTTTGATGTGTGCCGTTGTGCCCACAGTAAAAAAAATGACAGTAAAGGTTATCTTATAGGTTATAAAAACATGCAATGATTTTTAGCATAAGATAGTAATCTCTATATTTTCTTATATGGAAAATAATTATTCTCAACAACATTTCAGTTATTCATTAAATACAGAGTGAAAATTATAGCAATTTTTATTTACAAACTGAATCCAGAGAATTTCAATCTTTGGGTCTAGATGGGATTGTACTGCAGTTTGGGAGTCATCCTGAATTCATGTCTCCTGGTTGAAAAATATGTAGCAATCATGACACAGCTTTAATATAAATAATGTGCCTGTTGCACCTATTACTACACTGGGAGGCCCTACTCAGAAAATCATGGCTTAGTCATCTTCCTTTTTGATTGTGGCTATGTGGATATGTTTTTGCCTTTGAAGACCATTCAGAAGCTACAGCTAGTACAGAATGTAGCAGCATAAGTAATTTATTTATTTATTGTATTAAATTTGGAGGTCACCAACTCCAAACTGATTCTAGATAGTTTACATCAGACATGTCAAACTTGCGACGTCACGTGACATCGCGCAATGTATCGGAGCTTTTTCGCCGTTACCGGCAATGGAGTGGGCACGGCTCCGGTATGATGAAACCGGCCTGTGGACTGGCAGTTTGACACCCCTGGTTTACATTATAAAATGAAAAACAAATCTGTCCTACGAAATTGCATTTGAGAATTGGATAGGACCACCTTTCAGAGAACTTTTAAGAGGCAGCTTTTTACTCAAGGCATGTAGTCATAAGATTGTGTGCCTCTCTTGATTGCTTTAGTGATATTTTTACATTAGTTGAAGTTGTCTCAGATATGTTATGTTTTATATTTATAATGTGCTCTTTGTGATTTTGTCATTCAGTGTTTATATAAATCACATGCATGTTATATAAAGTGATGCTTGGTGTTGGAAGATTAAAAATATGCTTGGGTCAATATAATTGCATGGTTAAGAGATTTTTGTTTGGAATACTGTATTTGAATGCCATTTTATAATTCCTGTTTTGGGGTATTTTGCTTTTTATGAAACAAATATGCAATTCATTGTGTTTAAATTATAACAACGATCCTATAGAATACAGATCCATATGGCACACCATTAGTTCTACCAATTGATTGTAGTTTAGTTGTAAGTATTAATCAATCATTATGGTGATAGACCAGCATAAAGAAGATGGGATGCAAACAATTTTTAAACTAAAAAATATTAAAACAAAAATTACACAAACTAAAAAAAGAACAAAAAGTACATTATACAAGTAGTCCTTGACTTAAGACCATAATTGAACCCAAAATTTATGTTGCTAAGCGAGACAGTTGTAAGTGAATTTTGTCCCATTTTATGACCTTTCTTGTCATAGTTAAGTGAATCATTGCAGTTGTTAAGTTAGTAACAAGTGAATCAGGATTCCCCATTGACTTTGCCTCTCAGAAGGTTGCAAAAGAAGATCACATGACCCCAGGACACTGCAACCGTCATAAATACAAGTAAGCTACTAAATGTCTGAACTTTAGGCAAAATCCGTCTCTAAATAATGCTTCACAATCACTTTGATTTTCATCACCCATTTGTCTCACTTCCAATCTTGACCATCTCACTGCTTACTCCAAGTTAAGATCTTGGAAATTTCAATTTGGCAGGAGTCTTTGTTTCATGTGTTTGTGAGCTTATGCAAACACTAAAAATAACAAATAAGTAACAGAGGATCCCATTGAAAGAGAAATGTTCATTAATATAGTTGTCTTGGATGCAGGGTACACCTATCAGTGTTCACAAGTGTTCATGATTTTATTTTACATTATTTCTTTTATCTATTTTTTGTCATTTATATTAGTGCTCAAAATAGGCTTATAGGTGCTTACTTATGTATTGTGCTGCACAAAATCATTTAATTAATGTTACAAAGCATTGCTTCCAGGACTTACTAGAGATTTCTCTTCTTAACTTTCCTTCATTGAAAAAAAGTTTCCTTTTTTAAAAAAAAATCAGCAATCCATAAAAGGCAAGATCCTCTTGTTGTTGTTGTTAATTGCAAAGTCGTGTCCGACCCATCGCGACCCCATGGACAACGTTCCTCCAGGTCTTCCTGTCCTCTACCATCTTCTGGAGTCCATTTAAATTCACACCTACTGCTTCAGTGACTCCATCCACCATCTCATTCTCTGTCGTCCCCTTTTTCTATTGCCCTCAATCTTTCCCAGCATTAGGCCCTTTTCCAGTGAATCCTTCCTTCTCATTAGGTGGCCAAAGTACTTGAGTTTCAACTTTAGGATCTGGCCTTCTAAAGAGCAGTCGGGGTTGATCTCTTCTAGGACTGACCGGTTTGAACGCCTTGCAGTCCAAGGGACTCGCAGGAGTCTTCTCCAGCACCATAGTTCAAAGGCCTCAATTCTTTTGCGCTCAGCCTTTCTTATGGTCCAACTTTCACAGCCATACATTGCAACTGGGAAAACCATGGCCTGGACTATACGCACTTTTGTTGGCAGGGTGATGTCTCTGCTTTTTAGAATGCTGTCTAGATTTGCCATAGCTTTCCTCCCCAGGAGCAAGCGTCTTTTAATTTCTTGGCTGCAGTCCCCATCTGATGTGATATTTGAATCCAGAAAAATAAAATCTGTCACTACCTCCATTTCTTCCCCATCTATTTGCCAGGAATTGAGAGGGCCGGATGCCATGATTTTGGTTTTCTTAATGTTGAGTTTCAAGCCAACTTTTGCACTCTCCTTCTTCACCCGCATCAAGAGGCTCTTTAGTTCCTCTTCACTTTCTGCCATTAGAGTGGTATCATCTGCATATCTTAGGTTGTTGATATTTCTCCCGGCAATCTTAATTCCAACTTTTGATTCATCTAGCCCTGCCTTTCTCATGATGTGCTCTGCATATAAGTTAAATAGGCAGGGCGACAGTATACAGCCTTGCCGGACTCCTTTTCCAATTTTGAACCAATCAGTGGTTCCGTGTTCGGTTCTCACTGTTGCTTCTTGACCCGCATATAGGTTTCTCAAGAGACAAATGAGATGGTCTGGTACTCCCATCTCTTTAAGAACTTGCCACAATTTGTTGTGATCCACACAATCAAAGGCTTTTGCATAGTCAATGAAGCAGAAGTAGATGTTTTTCTGGAACTCCCTAGCTTTCTCCATGATCCAGCGTATGTTGGCAATTTGATCTCTAGTTCCTCTGCCTCTTCGAAATCCTGCCTGTACTTCTGGTAGTTCTCGATCCACATACTGCTGGAGTCTAGCTTGTAGGATTTTAAGCATAACTTTACTAGCATGTGAAATGAGTGCAATGGTGCGATAGTTTGAACATTCTTTGGCATTGCCTTTCTTTGGAATTGGAATGTAAACTGACCTTTTCCAATCCTGTGGCCACTGTTGAGTTTTCCAAATTTGCTGGCAAATTGAGTGTAGCACTTTTACTGCATCGTCTTTTAAGATTTTGAATAGCTCAGCTGGAATACTGTCACCTCCACTAGCTTTGTTGTTGCTCAGATTTTCTAAGGCCCATTTCACTTCACATTCTAGGATGTCTGGTTCGAGGTCAGTGACCATCTCATTGTGGTTATCTGGGATGTTAAGCTCATTCTTGTATAGTTCTTCTGTGTAGTTTTGCCATCTCTTCTTAATCTCTTCTGCCTCTGTTAGGTCTCTGCCATTTTGGTCCTTTATCATGCCCATCTTTGCATGAAACGTTCCCTTCATATCTCCAATTTTCTTGAAGAGATCTCTGGTCCTCCCTATTCTGTTGTTTTCTTCTATTTCTTTGCACTGTTCATTTAAGAAGGCATTCTTATCTCTTCTAGCTACTCTCTGGAATTCTGCATTCAATTGGGTGTATCTTTCTCTTTCTCCTTTGCCTTTCGCTTCCCTTCTTTCCTCAGCTATTTGCAAAGCTTCCTCAGACAGCCATTTTGCTTTCTTGCATTTCTTTTTCTTTGGGATGGTTTTAGTTGCTACCTCTTGTACAATGTTGCGAACTTCCATCCATAGTTCTTCAGGCACTCTGTCTATCAGATCCAGTTCCTTAAATCTATTTGTCACCTCTACTGTATATTCATCAGGAATATGATTTAGTTCATACCTGAGTGGCCTAGTGCTTTTCCCTACTTTTTTCAATTTAAGCCTAAATTTTGCAACGAGAAGCTCATGATCTGAGCCACAGTCAGCTCCTGGTCTTGTTTTTACTGACTGTATAGAGCTTCTCCATCTTTGGCTGCAGAGCACATAGTCAATCTGATTTCTATGTTGACCGTCTGGTGATGTCCATGTGTAGAGCCGTCTCTTGGGTTGTTGGAAAAGAGTGTTTGTTATGACCATCGTATTCTCTTGACAAAATTCTATTAGCCTGTGCCCTGCTTCATTTTGTACTCCAAGGCCAAACTTGCCTGTTATTCCGGTTATCTTTTGGCTTCCTACCTTAGCATTCCAATCCCCCATGATGATAAGGACATCATTTTTTGGTGTTAATTCTATAAGGTGCTGTAGGGCTTCATAGATCCTCTTATCCCATGACAATTAAGTTTACTCAAGAACCTTGATGATGAATTTTGTCAAAAAGTACTTGAAAATTCAAGTGTACTTTCTTGATAGTCACCTGTATCCGCGTGCTTGTTGGCTCTCTCAAAAAACTTTATAATATTAATAGAATTTACCTTTACTTAAGCTTGTTCCTTAATGTGCTCATTTTTTTTAGTAATAAATAGTAACCACTTTGTACCTATTTGTCTGGAACAGACATTACATTGATTGGCTTGTAATTTCCTGGATCACTCCCAGGCCCATTTTAAAAATTAGAAATCATATTGGTATTTCTAATTATCTGATATTGAGCCTATTTTGAGGTACAAGTTAGATACTTTGGCTAAGAGGTCAGCAAGTTACATCTGGTTGAACTATGTGCAATGCTTTACATCTGGTTGAACTATGTGCAATGCTTCCTATGAGAACTGATGTTAAAAACAATTTGAACCTTCAGTTGATCTCAATAGATGGAACATGTAAGAGAATCCACAGATCACTGCAAACAGTTCAGGTGACTGAAAAGTTTAGCTGACACTTCTCAAAAGGTCTACAAGTACAGCATTGCTTACACTCTGAATGGGAGACCTCATCATAAAAGTCATTTTCTACTCTTTCATTCTTTCTTTCAAATCATTTACAACCACTTAAGACATCTATGAAGAAAAAAACGTGAAGAAGAACCTTCGGCCAACTGCTAGGCACAATGACCTGGTACCATTGAGATATTGTGTTTGTTAGGGATTCACAGACACATCCACTTTGAGAAGGATTGCCTACACTTTTGCATGTAGGAATTACACCACTTATGGCTGAAGTATAAGTTCAAGTAAGTTTATAAACAACCCTGTGAGATTCAGTAGGTTTAACTAAGAGCAAATGCTCCAAATTTAACCAAGGAGCTTTCATGTTTGAGAGTGAACTTGAACCTGGGTTTCCTAGATGCTAGTCCAGCAATTAAACTGCCCCATCACCACGGCTGCCCTAGTTCCAGGACCACCATCCCTGCTCATTGTGAATGTTACTGTAGAAGTTAACTTAAAATGTCTGTAGGGACCTGATATGAAGAAAGCTGAGGACGCATCTTCAGCTAGTCATTTTCCAATCGGCAGAGAACCACGCTTAGCACCAAATAGGATTTCCGTGTTTCACCTCTTCTGCCTCCACCCCAATACCAGCTGCTTCTATTGCGGCCCTCGTTCTCGCGTGCCCCTTAAGACAGGCAGAGGAGGAGGAGGAGGGGGAAGACGTGGAAGTCCGTCCTACTCCCCCCCAGTACGTGTTGACGTCACATTTTTTTCGGTGAAGAGGATAAATCGGGTTAAGCTTGTCCAGACCCCGGAAGTAGAGGGTTTGCAGGCTTGGAGGAGATCGTGAGGCTTAAGTAGGCGCTAACATTTGGCTCCGCTTGAGCGGAGGAAGGAAACTATAGTAGGTTGCGCCGGGGCTGCGTTCTACGGGGAGGCTAGGCTGATTTAATCTAGGAAAGTCTTGCCGCTCCCTGGGCTTTCTGCCGGGAGAGTCCCAGCGTTTGCGGCTGGCATGGTGCTGGCGCCGGCGTTCGGTGCTTGCGTTTTTCGGAGGGAGCAGCCCGAGCGGAGGAACCGCGATGGAAATGCTGCTGCTGCAACCGTTGGGGTGAGTCTCGGGGCCCGGGTTTCCCCCGTTTGATATCTTCCGGATGTGTTGGATTCAACACCCATCGCCTCCAGGCTTGCTGAAAGTGATAGGAGTTGAAGTCCAGAGCACCCGGAGGACTTCCAGTTGAAGAGGACTGCTAGATAAGTGAAGGTGGGCCGGGCACTCTCCTAATACCGTAAGGTTTCTGGAGAGAATTGCCCCTTTGCAGAATATTATCTTCGAACAGGCCTTGGTCCTATTACTAAACTGGAATATCGCATTTGTTTCTAGAACCTACGTCCCAATAATCCCACCGTATTCTGAACATGTACAGAGGGCATTATATATTTTATTGTAGCTATGGTAAAACAGCAGTTCATTTCTGGTTTTAGATAATTTGGTCACTCTGCCTGGAAGGGCTGTTTCCAACCTCGTTATCTTTAGGGTTTGGCTGTGGTCAGTTTGAAGTTAGAAAACCACCGAACAAACAGTCAGAGATACTCCTTTTGCAATTTATATACTGTATTCCAAAACAGGCCCTTGAAATTCCAAACAGCTTCTGGGTGAGTTGTGGCTTAGTTGAAGATTTGAGTTACTTCAACCAAAGTTGTCAGCATATATTAAGAGAGCAGCTTTTTTAGGTAGGTTGTCTTTACTTTGGTTATCCTTGTGCTAAGTAATTTAAGTATTTGAGGTCAACTGGGACCCACTGAGAGAAAATCCTCAGGAGAATGCAGATTAATCCTTGTTTGCTGCTTTTCTCTGCATGGAGAAAATTACTTTTTCATTCTAGTCACAATTTGAATAACCAATAATGATAGTTGAATACTAGCAATGTGACGGCTGAAATGAAGTTTTTACTGTCATTTGGAATATCTGTCATTCTTGGTTTTGTCCAATAATCACTGGATGAATAAAAAGCACCTAATATGTTTCCATCATTCTAAATTGAAAAACAAAGGTAGAATAATAACTTTATTGTCACTTTGAATGTACGCTAATTGGCATACATTAAAATGAAATCTTGTTGCATATAGCTCTCAAAGGGTCACAACCTCCAATATACATAAACATGACAAATAAATACATAATTATGCATATACCCACATATATGGCATAGAGAAACAACACAGTCTACTTCGTATTATACATGTGCATGGTGAGAAAAATGAACCTTGAGAGTTTATCAGACGGATGGCATAGGGAACAAAGCTATTACAGAATTGGGTAGTTCTGCTAGAAATACTTCGAAACCTCCTCCCAGAGGAGAGCAACAGAAACAGACTGTAAAGTGGGTGTGTGGGGTCTCTAACAAAGCTTTGAGCTCTAAGCACATAGCGCTTATAAGCTGCATCCTGAATACCAGGTAAGGTAAATTATGTTTCTGCATTGGGAGTTTTCAATTTTAAAAAGTTCTAGGAAAAGTGGAGATTCATGACCGAAGAAATTTATGTGCACATGAAATGTTACTTTTAACTTAGTTTTTTCAAAGTAAGCTCTCCCCTGGGGTCTGTGCCAACAGGTATTGGATGAGGGTGGCAAGGAAAAGAGCTTTCCCATGATGGCATCTTAACTTTGGGATTCTTTCAGATGCTTATTAAGATTTAAGCACCTGATCTAAATTTGCTTTATTTGTCCAGGCGTTAAATGATTCAGTGAACCTGAAGCTGTTTTTAAATATTTTATTCTTAGTAAATGCTGCTCTTATTTTAGGTGTTTCATTTTAGAGGCAATGTATTAATGTTATTTTGTTGTATTTTACAGTACTTTAAAAAGAAATAAATTTGGAACATATAGGTCTTTCACTACAATCTTCCAAATTTGTCTTCTAGTTGCATATAACTCTTCTGCTACTGGGCAGCTAGCTATATAATTTTTGTGAGCAGCATAAAAAAGCCGTATTTTATTAGATTTTCTTGTTACATGGAGTCCTTTTCCCCCCTCTGATTCTAATTACATTTTCTATTGGCTTTAGGTCTGACATGAATTTTTGTGAAGAAAGTTTTGGAAGATGTTTCCTAACATGGTTTCCCTCTAATGTTTTAGATTTTACTTCAGTAAGATATGGAGCATGTGCCAGTGACTGCAGAATAATTAGTACTTTAGTGGCATTAAGCTCGAAAAAATTAGGGATTTTCTGGTCATTTCAGTGACATGAAGTCTTTTCTCACTTGATGGGAATATAGAATTAAGTTGGCATTAATGAATTGTTATCTGAACTGTTAAATTACAGTACACTAGTAAAGAAAAGAAATATGTTTTGTGATCTTCATCTTTTATTTTAAGACTCGGTCCAAGTCTGGTTCCCAGGAAAACCAAAAGTGTTAGAAAAATTACATTTGAAATTAAATGTTAAAACAGTCCCAGGGTTTGTTTTTTGGGTAGTTTCTTCTGTGAAAAGTAGTGATATATGATAATATCAATCTTTTATGTACAGGATAATGAAGATGTTTGGAGAATTATGAAAGAATAGAGGAACTTTTCTTTATTAGAACCTTGGGTATTTTAGTACAGTATCTCAGCGTTATCAAATTGGAGGAGCAGCAACAGGCAATCCCATAGCTAATTGTATAAAGTGCTTGCACATTTCTCCTGTTCACCACTTCACATGTGTAGTTGCTGTCTTCTAGTCTAGTATTAGTTCTAGTCTGTTTTTTTAAGGAATTTGCTCATTCTGAACATAGAATCAGCAGGATAAAATGCTGGGTATTTTAAAAACAACCATTTTCATGTACTGGAATAGTGGGTATATTAAAAAGTGGTTGTCAATTATGCTTTAGTTTTCATTTTAAAAAATCATGGAATTGTTTTAAGTTTAAGACTATGTCATATATGGGGAAACTACGTGTTTTATTTTAATAAGACAAAATTGTTTACTTGAGATATTTTTGTCTTTATGTCTTAAATTTGGGAATCATGTTTTTGTTTGCTTTTTGCTGTGCACACATCTTCAACAAGCCCATGACTTTCAGACCTGTTGAATTAAAATTTCCAGTATTTCCCATCATGCCGATGATTAATGATCATGCAGACTAGCTATTCTGAAAGATATACTTGAATACATAGAATACATCAAGTTGGGAAAACTTGTTATTTCCTTATTAATAGTTTTGATTATAGAGCAGCCCCATTTGATCAATATCAATAAGATATTTTTAATCAGATTTGCTATTTCTGTGATGACTCATTTATTATCTTTGTTTGAATGTCTTGCTGTAATACATGGTTGGATATATTGTGATGCTGCAAGTACTGCTAAACTACAAAAGCTTGGAAGTCCAGGTAGCCAAGCTAGTGATAAAGAATATTTTAGGAACTGCGCTTCCCTGTTCCTTCTGTAAGACCTAAACCATGTATCAAGATATAAGTTAGGTTACAATATTGTTTTTGGTATAATGTTTGTTGGAAACAAAAGTAACATTGGATTTTTTTTCTTTCAGATTTGGTTAATGGACAAATGGTGTTTCACCTTTTTTTACTGTATGCTGTTAGCGCTAACTTCAGTTTAGTGTGTTTCAATGTGCCTTTAATTGTAGTTAGTTCGGTCTCTTATCAATGATTTAATTAGATGTTTAAACTTTGGCCTTTTCCTAGTTTGAATTTCACTTGGGAGTTGGGTTGTTCATCCCAAAGCTTAAAGGCATAGTCAAAGCTAAAAGCACATTTTCACTTGGCTTAGTTGCAGAGCTGTAAGTGAATATGTACAGTATGTAGATATTACAAGCTTTTGTGCCACTTCAGTCAAGGACTCTAAAGCAGTTTATAAGGCTATATAACAACAACAACAACAACAACAATAATAATAGAGTTGGAAGGGACCTTGGAGGCCATCAAGTCCAACCCCCTGCTCAGGCAGGTAACCCTATACCATTTTGGGCAAATGGCTGTCCAGTTTCTTCTTAAAAACTTATAGTGTTGGAGCATTCACCGCTTCTGGAGGCAGGTTGTTCCACTGGTTAATTGTTCTAATAATATAGTGGAACAATAAAAACACACATACACTAATCAGTTTAGCAATAGTAATAATTAAGTTGGTTGCAAACTCTCATGGTTAACACATTTTCTTTTTTCTTTTTCTTTTTTTCAGATGTACCAAATTATGCCAGCAGAAACCTCTGGATTTAAAAGATGATAATACTGAAAAACACTGTCCTGTTACAGTGAATCCTTGGCACATGAAGAAAGCTTTTAAAGTTTTGAATGAATTAAGAAGGTATTGTTCTTGAAAAGTAGGCAGTATCTTTAGTAGTTCTCCAGATTTTGCTCTTATTGGAATATAATGTTGAAAATGAAATTGCATTATTTAAATAAGATGCTGGGCTGGCCATTACATTTTATACAATTGTTATTTTTTTCTCTCCAAAGCTGGTCAGTAAGATTTTGAAGGGGAAACTTGAACTGCCTAATACAAGTTTTTTTGGATGGCAGAAATTTCAGCTCTTTATTAATGAAAAATCTGTTTTCAAATGCTGATAGTGGCTAAATGTTGTAGATTAAGGATGTCATGTCATTCCCCCACCCCTGAAAAATTATGAAAATATTCCTGTGAGAATAAAATATGTGGATAGGCCAATGATGGGATTTAGGCTTTGAGAATAGGATTTTATCCTCTTAAGGTGGTGTCTCCTCTTCAGGAACAAAGTGGTAAAATATTACTGGACCACCATTGGGTCACTACTCCACTAATTGTGCTCTTGTCCCATGTTTTGTAGTGCTGCTATTTTGAATTAGGTCCCCTACTTTTTCTTCACTATCTTGTGCTAACTTGAAAAATATAGGCCTTGCATCTTTCATATCTCCTATGCCTCACTCGTTTTGGCATATGGCTAAAACTATAGTCATTTTTTGTTATGCCATTTATTTATTTTAAATGTTCCTTCCTAATGTCCGATAAGCTGTTACCTATGATATGTTGAGATCTGGCCATCAGATTTTGCTGTATTGCTATGGACATCTGCAAAAGGAAAGCTAAATATAAGCAGTATCGCATACCATGCCCCAATTAAATGAACTCTAACACCATCATAAGCATTTTGTACACATCCATAAGTGCATCAAATAATGCATCAAACAATTAAAGAGACAAGGTCTTATTCCATTAGTGAAGAACCATTCATTAACCATTCTACATAATCTTATACTTGGTTTGCTTCCATTGTATTCTGCTCTTTCTGCATTCCACAATCAATTTTCAACTCCACATTTGTCCAAACATTCCACAATTCAAGCACTTTCATTTTATCATATGCTTTCTCTAAATTAGCAAAGTACACAGCACACATTTCTTCTTCATACGTTCCTCAGGGATAGCAAAAATCTTGTCTATATACCTACTGCCTGGTATAAAGCTGTGGTGCAGTTCCTTGCTTATTGATAGAATTCTGATCTACTGGTGCATGAGGTAATATTTTCCCTGACATACTTAACAAACTAATTGCCCTTCTTTCTGCATTCACTCTATGCCACTTTTCAGTAGAATGCCATTATTTTTCCTTTGTACACTTGACAGGTAGAGATGCAGGTCTCCAAAGCTAGTTTGCACTCATAACACATGCAGAATTTGCTGTTAAAGGAAAGGACAGCACCTGGCATAACCAAAGCCCTGCTTTACCTTAAACATCATTTCACCTTTCTAGGCAAGATAGGATCTGTGATCAAAAGTCTATCTTGTGAGCCAAAATACTGTTGCCTTCGTCTCTTCTATTCTTCTAACATGGTTCTCTGAAAAATTAGAATAACAGTTCCAATTAACATTGCACCTTCTGGTTGAGAGCCATGGTGAGCTAGAGATCGCTTTTGTAGCAGGATGGTGTTACAGTGGAGGTTAGAGTGGGATGCATAATCCTGGCTGTTGAAATTCTCTCTGGATCTTTGAAACAGCCTACGTGGTTCCATACAGCTGCCCTTTGTGAGCAAACTACAGGAATTTTAAGTAAATTTACTTAAATTATGTACTTTGTGAATGAAGAAGAAAGTGACTTTTTTCTTTTTTTCCACATTTTTATATTTTTCTAATTTATATAGCTTTTATTCTTTTTATTGTAGTCTTTAATAAATTATTTGAAAAAATAATACCAAGAACTTCTATTCATCAAACTTATAGATGTGGACTTATATAAAACCCTGAAGAGGTTTACTTCCACAAAACTATTTAGAATACAGTGTTGAGATACTCTGTTCTGGAGCTGCCTTGTTTGTTCATTATACTGAATGCAATATCCATTTATGCTTTTCAATTAGAGACCAAACTAAATTTCATTATTTGCTGTTGACACTTCATTTTTGAGTATTATTCAGTCATAACAAGATTTAACCATGACATCAATAATTCCTTGAGTTATTTCCTCATGAACATGATTAGAAAAGTGATGTTAAGCAAAATGATTTCACAACCTAACATTTTGTTGTACATCAAACATAAAAATTGGCTTTCTTAATGGGCCTGGCACTACATTGTTTCAAGAGTAAGTGTATATTATCAAGGAGTAGAAGCTTTCTATGAAATTATACTGTAAACCTCCTTTTTGGATACTGTAAGTCTATTTCTTTACCACTTCTGCTAAAACAGGTAGTCCTCGACTTAAGGATCACAATTGGGACCAGGGCCTCAGTCGTTGAGACAAGTGGTTGCCACAATCCCAGCACTTCTGGTTATGATTGTTGATTGATTGGGTCATTAAGCAAATGGAGCAAAGGAACCACCTGCTGAGTATTGCTTTCTTCTGTGTATGGAAGGAAACAACTCCAAAGAGCTGCAGGAATGGAGCTCAGATCTTTGAGACTTGACCACCGTTTTTGCAATTTTTTGCAAGAGTTGCCCTCCTCTCTGTGTGGGGAAAGAATGGCTGCAGGAACAGAGCCCAGATGTTCAGATATGACCTTTGTTTCTGCTGCTTTTCAGAGCAGTGCCCCTCCCTTCCATGTGCTGAAGGGAACTCCTTCAAAGAGTTGCAGGAATGGACTTCATCAGCTGGAGTTGTTCCTGTCCCTTCAGCAGGAACTCCTTTTGCTCTCAAAGGGCTTCCTGGGGTGGGGTGGGGAATCTCAGATCACAGGGAGCTCAGATTCCCTCCCACCTGAGAATCCCTGCCGGTGGGCAGCCCTTTTGTAATCTTCTTGGCTGACTTCTTGTTGACTTTTTACAGGAGCCAGCAGAGGTTTGTAAATGGTGATTGCATTATTATGGAGCACTTGGTAATTGGTTGTAAGTGCAAACAGGTTTCCCATATTGTGATCGTGTGACTGTGGGGATCATGGTGCAGTGTTTTGTGATGGCTGGAAGTGCTTTGTAGGCCATAAAGCACCCATTCTGTTGGCGTTGTAATTCCAGATTATCATTAATTGAATCCTCATAAGTCGAGAACTACCTGTAGTAGCATGACAAGGTGGAGAAAACTGTAGCCTTTATATAGTATTGAATTACAATGTCCATATGGCCATTTGTTACAGATACTGTAGATCAGGGGGGCCCAACCCCTGGTCCATGGACCAGTACCAGGCCTTGGCATGCCAACAACCGGTCCACACAAAGAAGCAAAGCCCCATCCACGGGATGCAGGCAGCACACAAAACCACGCACTCTCCGATCTGCGGAAAAACTTCTCTCCGTGGAACCAGTCCCTAGTGCCAAAAAGGTTGGGGACCTCTGCTGTAGATTATAATTCAAGTTTCCAATCCTGGAATTAAAGAATAAACTCTGCTTAATTTCTGGAAAATGTCTTTGGTTTTGGTCTCACATGCTTACTGTACTTATGTGGTAAAAGTAAGCTTGTTAAGTCAAAATATGTGAGGGAGGGAATTGTATACAGAAGCAAGGTTCTCAAGCTTTTTACTGTTGTTGATAATGATAAACAAATTTATTCCACCTTCCTCTGATAAAAGAAATTATTTTTATCAGGGATAAGACTGGGTAAGAAATAATGTTCCTCTTTTAATTATTAAATTTTAATCTTCCTGTCATGGGTTCTTATATCTAATGGAGCTTGCACAGAAAAGGTGGGGTCCAAAGCCTGAGGTGAGTTTTGGTAGCACTTAAATTTTGCCTTTACAAATATGGTTAGGTTTTTTTTAAATAATTGCTGGGTTTTTCCTCAATAAAAAGAGATACGCTCAATAGCTCTATTAGCAAGGAGAATGATAAGAGCCTGAATATTAATATTTTATTAAACTTGTTGAATATCTACAATAGCCTGTAACTAATAAGGCAATGCTTATCTTTCCTGTGGTCTAAGGTTATTTTTGTTGTCTTTCTTAATAGTCAAAACCTATTATGTGATGTGACAATAGTAGCTGAAGACATGGAAATTGCAACTCATCGAGTTGTATTAGCAGCTTGCAGTCCATATTTCCATGCAATGTTTACAGGTACTTTTTTTCTTCTTCTTGTCTCTTGCAGTTGAACTATCTCAGCCTATTTTGAAAGGTTAATGGGTATTTCCTCAAGACATTGCTATGCTATATGCAAATATGCACAGTGTATTTAAAGTACTTTAATAAGTAAACTTTGTTCCTGAAGCTGATTCCTAGAAGTAAAAGCTGTGCCTTGGAAGGTACATTCTTGCTAGTACTGCTATCTTTGGTGTCACCATTAGTTGGTAAAATGTGTTCTTTAAATTGCTGAAATACTGTAGCAGAAAAAATATATGGATTGAGAAACTATAGAATTGAAAGAATGGATGGAGAATGATAGCTTTACATCTTACATTGGAGTGCTTTTTGGGCCTAATTTCAGATGATTGGACCATGTGTTTTGCCATGATGCTTTCTATGCCAATTGGATATTTGAATGTTCATGCTCTGTCCTGTGTATCCAGGATAGGTATGTAAATTGGTTTGCAAGTAATTGTTAATTGTTAATTCAGTTTAACCACATTCAGTTCATTTGAAGGAACATTCTTTCATCTGTAATAATTGTATTAAATTGAAAATAATACAAACTGAAAGGAAAATGAAGGAAAAAGTGTATGAAAGCAATAGGGACACATATCCTTTACCCCTAAGAAAATGACTTTCCACCCTCATCATACCAAATATAAACAATTCTATAATCTTTCCACCTCCTTTTAGTTAACAAGTATAAAATTCTTCATCCCATTATTTCTTTTAACAATATCTCCAATCTGATTATCAGCAAATCATTCAATTCTAAAATATTAATTAACATATATAAAATTCAACAAGCATATTCTGACTCTTAACTGTAATAAAATACCATTTAAAAAGCATAAAATGGTCCTTTTATGCTAATATAAACACAATAAAACAAAAGTTTAACATTACAAAAATAGATCATTTCTCTATTATAAAAGACTGTCTTTTATACACATTTTCCCATTCCACACACCAATAATTCTGAAATCCTATGCCAAATAGCAATTTGTACCATTAAAAAAAATTTCAACTATAAACTACAAAAATTTACATGTCAAAAATATAATCTCAGCATTCTAATATAAACAAAAATTAAAATTTAACATAACAAAGAAAAATAGCTTCTCCTTTAATGAGAAAAAATTTCCAATTTTCTTATTTTGAATAAAAAGTTAAGTTTATCTGTCTAAAGCTAAGATACATAAACATACATAGATATACAAAAAAAACCCACGAAAACATGTTTATGTATTAACATACATAAACATATACACATGTGGAGAAAACCTTAACACTATATTAAGTATAAGCAAACCAGTATATCACATTTTTTAGTTAAGATACCAGTAAAATCTAAAAAGAGCTACTCAAAATGACAACATACCCCATTTCATCCCTGGGGAAATAAACAGACTTTGTAGTCCTTTTCTTTACAGTCTTTCCAAGCCAGTGATGGCAAACCTTTTAGACACCGAGTGCCCAAAAACTGCCTTGCCCCCACTCCCGCTCACCCTGTCTTGCCACCCCACCAACCCTGCCCCACTCCACCCCCTGCCCCCCCAGCCCGCAGGGCCACCTACCACCTCCATGGCCCATAGCAGATCACCCATGCGGCCCTGCAGTGCCTTGGCAGCCATGCCCTCCACCTGTGTCCCACAGCATCATCTGCACAAGGGCAGAATCTTGTCTCTGCTGCCCAGCTGCCATGTCCTTGGCTGCGCTGCTTTGTGTGGGCCATGCCCAGGGGCGACTCTCCTCCAGGGGGCTGCTGGTGAGGTGGCTGAGGGGGGAGGCAGGGCTCGGGCAACAGCACGCGTGCCCATAGAGAGGGATCAGAGTGCCACTTTTGGCACGCGTGCCATAGGTTCACCACCACTGCTCTAAGCCATTCAGATGGTTATTAGTCCTCATTGCAAATTTCTTCAGTACTTTAATCAGTCTCATGAATCCAACAAAACGTAATTATTCCGATTGCTCTCTAGAATTATCATTTTTATCACTTTCTTAATTTTTAAAGTCCCATACAGGATTTATTTTTCTGTATATCTCATGATACATTCTTATTCGGTTTCCTTCATATTTTTCTTGGATAGATTTTGCTGCACATCTTGTTCTGCAACATTTTTTCCTGATAACAGATAGTTTCCAAGAAGCCAAAACATAGCTGATATAATTGAATCAGATTGCTGATGCAGATCTCATTCCTCAAAGATATCTCCAAGCACCATAATAAGTTGTTTCTCTTATTACGTCTTAAATCTCAAAAACAATTTTCTCCCCACAAACACGCACTCTTTAAAAAATAATTTTTGAAGCCTTAATATTCAAAATCCAATGATTCAACATTTTATGAGCCCCTTTTTCTGAAGCCAAAACCTTGTTTTGTGTTTTGCTCTTTGTTTGTTTTTCAAAAGGTCTTAAGGATTATAAAAATAGATCTTCATGTTCTTATATTAAGGTTTGAAGGCATTCACCCATCTTTCCAGCCTTGTTACTTTTCTTTTAATAGACAATTTTCAGAGGTAGTTAGCAAGGAAAATAAACAAACTTGGTGTCCTTTTTTAAAAAACAACTGTTTGCAGCTGGAACATTTATGGCAAATTCCCCAGTCTCCTAATTATCCCCTGTTCCAGAAACTGCCATCTTACAATCTTTTCATGAGGGGCAGCCATAAGGAAAAACAGCTTGGGCAATCTCACCTCTCTCTCTTTTTATCCACAAATGTTAAAATGTCCACAAACACTTGTTTCACTTTTCCATGGAGCTGCCTTTAGTCCACCATCTTCTCCCAGAAGATCGAACAAATTTTTTTTTTCATTAATACTTTTGAGTAATAGCATTTCTTCAACCAAGTGTCTCTTTTTTAAAAAAAAACAACAAAAAAAAACAATTCTTCTTTTTCAAACAGTAATGAATTTTGGCTGCAACGTTCCTAAAAGGTATTTAGATAAAAATGTAAAATGTTAGATTCTTGTAAAGGATAGGTAATTTCTGCTTTTCTGAGGTGTATATAAATAAAAGTAACTGGGTGTGATGACAGGTGGTCAAGGTCTAGTTAGTTTGGGAATCAGCCAGCTTCTGATGTTATAAAGCTAGAGAAGGATTTGTTTTCCTTAGTATTGCTTGAAGTTCAAGTTGTTATTTTAACACGTTGGATATTGTAGGCATTTTCCATTGTTAACCAATAGATTTTGGATATATATCAGAAAAGCTCCTCAGAGCTGAGATTTGCTTTAAATTCTCTTTTGCAAACATTCATTCTGGCACTACAAATAGTTCTATACCAAGCTCCATGAATTGAAAAGGTATCTTGTTACATTTGCAAAGAGATGAAATTTTTTTATATTACAATAAATCAAAATGCTGCTGCTATTAAATCCTCTTGATTAATGCTTGCAATTTATTTTGAAACTTTTTTTAAAAAATCACTTTACATATAAAATGAATTGACCAAATTGGTGTACATTCCTCTATTTATTAAACTCTGTTTTTTCCATACACTGTTATGATATGGTACCATACCATATCTAGCAACTGCTGGCAGCCAGACTACTCTGTAGATTTTTCTGGCTTTCAAAATACATGGCAACGATGTTAGTCCATGTATGATATCCTATATGACAGATTGATAGATAGATAGATAGATAGATAGATAGATAGATAGATAGATAGATAGACAGACAGACAGATAGACAGACAGACAGCCAGCCAGCCAGCCAGCCAGCCAGACAGACAGACAATCATAGTATAAAATAAGTATGTAAATCCAACAGTGCTTAAGCTTCCAAGCAATCAGGTTATGAGCAATAGTGAAACATATATGTACCTGGCCTTTCAAAATATTTATGTAATTTGAACAGGAAATAAATTAAGTTTGATTACTGATTTTTTAATTTCTGATTTATCCTTGTAGAGTAATGCTTGAGAATCAGCTTATTTCTCTTCCTTAAGAACAGAAAGAGCTTCCTTTCTGGCCCCTGGTGCTTTTGAATTATGGTTGTACAAAAGTAGAAAATTATGAATTCTTGTCTAAGATGTCAAAAATTCTGAAAGACATTCAGTATCTCTTGGCTGGTACTTTGGTATCTGTGGGTGTTATATTGCCATTTCCTCTTTTATTACTGTGGAATTACTTTTTTTTTTTTTTTTTGCTTCCAGATAAGATCTTTTTACAGCATGTTTATTCCACTTGCCAGTGTCTGAATTAATCTGTTTTGCAGGTGAAATGAGCGAAAGCCAAGCACAGGAAGTTCGAATCAAAGAAGTTGATGGTTGGACCCTTAAGATGCTCATTGAATACATTTACACAGGGGAAATTACAGTTACAGAAGAAAATGTTCAGGTGAGTGAGATGATTATATTCATTTATCATAAAATACTTATAGCGGGACAAATCTCTCTCTGGGTTTGGCTAGGGTGATATTTATTTCTTAGCATATGACTTAAAAAAATGTGCATCTTTTAACAATATTTCTGTGGTCTTCTTGCCCTGTTGTAGCACAAAACAATGAGCATCTTGCATGTGCTTGCATTTTAAAAAGATCTGCTGAGTTGTACAGTCCTTGACAAAGTACTCTTCATTGTATCAAGCAAATGGACAGAAAGGGTTAGGGTTGGAAACCATTGAAAATCTATTGTTTGAAGAATACATCTTAATATATTTTCATTTCAGACTAAATACTACTGTGGGCTCTGAAGGACTTACTTTTGGGTAGGGCTTACTTTTTGCCGGTTCTAGCAGGCTGTGAGCGTGCGGGGGGTGGGGCCTGCGCATGGGGTGGAGACACAATGCGGTGGTGAGAGCATGGTGGCGGACCAAATACCAGTGCAAGCCGGTGCCAGGCCAGCCCCTGAAACCCTGGGGTGGCTATGCTAGGTGGTGGGAAGGGTGCCAAGGTGGGGGTGGCCAAGCCAACCCTCCTCTGGCTGGAGCGGGGGCCTTTGCCCTGGGGATCTGAGGAGACCACCTACCTGGCCTGGCCAGACCTGCCTGAGAGGTGAGCAGGGAGGCGGCAGCCCAGACCAAGGCAGCAGGTGGACTGCTGGAATCTCGGGGGGAGGAAGGGTGCTGAAGCAAGCGGGTGTCCTGCCATCAGCGCCCATGCTGGCTGCCCCTTCCCCATGGAGCTGGAAAGCTTGCCACACCACCACCCAGATGTCCTCACTTCCCCTAGGAATTGCATTTCTTTGCTTACCTGACTTCCAGCCCTGTCCTGTTTCTCCTTCACGATCCTCCACGTGCAGGGAAACAAAAGAAGTTTGGGGGGGGGGAAGGTCAATCAATTCCAACTTCGCCAGATTTTTTTTTTTTTCGTGAGAAGTTGAAATTGTTTGACTTTTTTCCCCTCACAAACTTCTTTTGTTTCCCTTCACGTGGCAGCAGAGGATCACAAAGGAGAAACAGGACGGTGCTGGAAGTCAGGTAAGCAAAGAAATGCAATTCCTAGCGGAAGTGAGAGCATCTGGGTGGCGGTGTGGCGAGCTCTCCAGCTCCATGGGAAAGGGGCAGGCGGCATGGGTGCTGATGGCAGGATGCTCACTCGCTTCAACACCCTCCTTCCCCAAGGCTCCGGTGTTCCATCTGCCACTTTGGTCCTGGGCTGCCGCCTCCCCATTCACCTCTCAGGCAGGCCCAGCCAGGAAGGTGGCCTCCCCGGATCCCCAGGGCAAAGGCCCCCTGCTCCGGCCAGAGGAGTGTTGGCTTGGCTGCCCCCATCTCAGCTCCCTTCCTGCCACTGCCCAGCACAGTTGCCTTGGGGCTGCAGGGGCTGGCCTGGGACAGGAAGTGTACGCGCCCTGACTGCACTGGTACTTGGTCCACCAGGCCTCATGTTAGCGGCATTGGGCGCGATGTGCGAGGCGTCAAATGGCCACTGGCAGCAAACAGATTCCTTTCCCCCATTGACTTCGCCTCATCGCAGAGGCATTGGCAAGTCCCCCCCTTACCTCGTGCCAGAATTGGCGTCCGTCCGTTTGTGCAGGCTCTTAGGTAGGGCTTACTTTTGGAGGGAGGGCTTATATTAGGCCCATCCCCCCAAAATCAGATGGAGCTTGCTTTTGGGAGAGGGCTTACTTTCGGAGAAACACAGTATACTTATATCTATAACAACAGAATTTCCTAGTGAAAAAGTGGGCATATTTTATATCATAGTAAATAAATGAACTACCAGTACACTTATGTGCATATTTGTGCATCCTTTGTGAAACCAGAAGAAATATAATGCTGTGCCTGTTCTTTTTTTTCTTTTACCCTTGGGCCCCAAAGGTTATAAATTTAATTGACTGCAGAAAAGTATGTCCTTAATAATGAGTCCACCCTAACCCATAGAAAACACTTATGTTGCTAGGCAGATTTAATTTAAAGAATGGGTTGGACACAACCTTGTTGGTTAAGCAATCAAGGGGCAAAAAGATATTTTAAGTAATAGTTAATCTTTTTAGGAGTTGTCAAGAACTAAGACAATATAATCTATTACTAGGCTGCATAATTTTTCTAGACTGAGGGCCATACTTGGCCTTTGACAGCTATGTCCTACTGTTGAAAAACTTTTAAGTGGGAACAGGCAAAAACAAAATGTAATTTAGTTTCATTTGAAATCTATTTTGTGAGTAGTCTCCAATTACAGATTTAAAAATAACATTTTTATCACATTAAAATTAGCTGTTAACAACTTTTGAAAGCCACACCCAATACAATGATGGAACCTTGGTGTATCTCTGCCTTAGACCAGGGGTGTCAAACTCAGTTTCATTGAGGGCCGCATCAGCATCTCGGTTGCCCTCAGGGGGCCGGGTGGGTGTGGCAAGGGTGGATGCAGCCTACTGTTTGGGCGTGGATGGAGTGGGTGTGGCCTACTGGGTGGGTAAGGTGCCCTTGGGGGCCTGGGCAGGAGTGGGACAGATCTGAGGGTCTCTGGCAGAAGGGGGTGGGACCAGGGCAAGTGCCAAGGCATGGTCCACTGGAGGAGCCTCACCATTCCTCTCAGGCCATGCAGGGAGGGGGGCTTATGGAGCTAAGACTGAATGCATTTCAGCATAGATGGCCACCACAAAATTGTACATTGGCCCCCAGCCGGCCTGTACCAGGGCCAAGGCAGCGGGGGCTGTTCCCTCACTGTTTCCAGGATGGCTTCGTGAGCCACATGAAACCACTTCGCGGGTCGCACCCGGCCCCGGGGCCTTGTGTTTGACATGTCTGCCTTAGACGATGCATGTGATTAACCAGTCTTTCTCATCCAAATCCTTGTTCCCATAGAATCAAAGTAAAGGCATATAAAATGCATATTCCAAATATTGTTCAGTGTATCATAGTTTGTTAAAATCAATACATTAGAGGGTGTTGTCTTCCACAGCCTCTGTGAGAACTGTCAAGCTATATATATTCAGGAAAGGAAATTAATAGCTGGATCGTTAAGATGCTTATTAAATACGTTCATACAAGGACAATTATAGTTACAGAGAAAAATGTACAAGTGAATGGTAGAACTCAAGTAAAATTTTATAATGCTATATTATTTGGCAGAAGTTTAAAATGAAATGGTATCAAGATCTTCACAACACAAGGGCTTGCAGGAAAAAGTTAATTGTTGATCAAATAAAACAATAGTTTTAGTCTTGAAGAAATAATATGTTGCAAAATTTCACAATTACCACCAGTTTAAAAATCAAAAACAATGCATAGTGTAATAAAATATAAAGGAAAAAACCTTATCTTAACTTTTTAATACTATTCCAATTGGAGGGAGAGACAAACAGCCTGGTAATTTGGGCTTAACCTTTTCCATATGATTTCATGACAATAGATACCAAAACAAGGTCTTTTTTAGAATTTTGATCACTCTGCGTGTATTCTGTCTATTGAGCTTCTGGTAGTTCCAGAACTTGTCAGCAATTAGATATCTCGAGTGCTGTTGATGGATGGCTTGAGTGTCCTTGAAGAAAAGTTGTCACTGAAGTTCAAATATTGCAAAATTTTAATGATTTTTGGAATGTTTTTATTTTACATTAGATGAGGTAAGTAGATGTTATTTGGAGTGCAAACCATGTAGATGGTTTCCAGTGTAGGAGTTTATTGAGGTTTGACATTGTCTCATAAACTAAATATTCTTTATTCTTTATTGGCCAAGTGTGATTAGACACTTATTTCTGGTGCATCTCAGTGTAGATACAAACAACAAAGTGATATAAGATGCCAATAGGAGAAGGTAATAGGAAAGATGAGAAGGATAATAGTAATACAACCCTACCACATGGGTAAATATGCTTGAGCATAAGACAGGTCTGTGGGAATTAGGTGTTTAGCAGAGTGATGGTATGGGGGAAAACTGTCTTTGTGTCTAGTTGTTTTGGCATGCAATGCCCTTTAGTGGCATCCTGAGGGGAGAAATTGAAACAGTTTATGTTCAGGATGTGAGGGGTCCATAGATATTTCCTTAGCCGTCTTTCTGGCTCGTGTAGTATGGAAGTCAGGCTGGTTGCAGTTGTTGTTGCAGTCATAACTATCCATTGAAGTCTCTACTTGTCCTGTATGGTTGCTGTACCAAACCAGACAATTGTAGAAGTGCAAATGACAGAGTCAATAAGTCCTTTGTAGAACTGTATCAGCAACTCCTTGGGCAGTCTGAGCTTTCTAAGTTGACGCAAGTAGAACATTTTTTTTAATGATGGTTTTAATGTTAGGTGTCCATTTCAAGTCCTGAGAGATTGTAGAATGTTGAAATACATGTTAGAATGTATTTTGTATTGCAACAACTACAAAATTATTCAGCCAGTAAACGGCAGTGGTTAGTTTGCATCTATAGTTATAAACTGTGGTTCCTTTGTGTTCTAAAGTGAGTTTCCTGTGACAGTTGAAACCATTAAGAGCAAGGCCCATGGTGACTGTACACTGTACACTTTATTTGATCTGTATGGCTATGTAACCATCCTCTGCTACCAATTTTTATGGCTATATAATAATCCTTTGCTACCATTTCTATATAATAAAACAGAATTTCTAATATAGAACCTAGAAGCTTGAAGGTCTCTATTGCTGATATTGTGTTGTCTAATATTGTAAGACAAAAATACAACAAAAAACGACAAAAAAAGAATCCTTCTCTTCCTCTCTCATTGTTTTTGGTAAAAAACTGCACGCACTAAAATGGGAAGTAGCTGTAATCAAATCAGACCATTCATCAGACCATTCATTTAGTATAGTATTGGTTGCAGAAGGAACTTTGCTAGCAGCTGACACCCCACAATATCCTCCTTTTGCCCGGTTAATTGAATTTGCCAGAGATCAAACTTTGCAAGAAACGTATGCTAAATAATCAGTGAACTATGGTACCTTTATGTTCAACA